TTATTATATTTAATAACATGACATATAACGTTCAGAGCCCATACAGTACCACAGGTAGTGCTAATTAATGTACGCTATATTTTTATTTATTTATTTATTCTTTATTGCCTAACTAAGGACAAATGGCGGACTTAATGCCATAGAGGCATTCTCTCCAAGTCAACCAGTTAGATTGTACAGAACAGTAGTAGGCGGTAAAGATTAAAAACTATACATAAAATCGTAACTATAAGCATTAGCATATATACATACAATACATATACACATATATACATAATATTAATATACATACATTATATATACAATACATATACATTATAAGATATAACGAATACTGAAATGGTGGTGTCTGATTATGAAATGGAAGTAGGCAGGAAATAGTGGTTACGAGCTGCAGACTTAAATGCGAGCTTGTTTGGGGCGTTACGAACGTCAAATGGTAATGCATTTCATAGTCGGATGGCAGTCAAAGTGAAGGAGCTAGATACGTAGCTGGAATGGTGAGGTGTTTGAAGGATCAGATTACCACTGGAGCGAAGATTTGTCTGGTTGGAGGCCCCGAGGAAGTGAAACCTAGATTTCAAATACTCAGGAGTATGTGGATCGAAAAAAATGTTGAAGAGGGTGCATACGATCCTTAGGTTTCTGCGCTCACGAATGGGCAGCCACTTAAGTTGTAGCCGGAAGTGAGAAATGTGGTCATATTTACCCGAAAACGAAGCGAATGGTGTTGTTGAGAAGACGATCCTGTCTGTTGAGGAAAATCTGATTGATATCTGAAGTACAAATACTCGTATCAGCATAATCAAAAAGGGGATGTACAAGGTATTGAATTAACTCAGATTTAATGCAGGAAGGAAGAAAATTCTTCAGCCAATATAGAGAACCAAGACTGCGGTGTATTTTGCGACAGATATTTTCCATCTGCCCATCCCAGTGCATAGAACTATCAAGGACAAGCCCAAGGTTTTTCCACTGTATTAGTATATGGTATTACCGTGCCACCATAAACAACAGCAGGAATTGAAAATCTGTTGAGCTTCGCAATTTGACGTGGGTTCCCGATGTTAATGGCCTGAATTTATATCTATATCTATAATAAAATAATACATCAAGTGTTTTATCTTATACTCGCTTTCCGCCAGCGGTTGCGTCCTCGTGGTTCTTTATTATACATATGTAACTCATAAATGATATAACACAGTTTTGGTTAACAGGCATTATTTGAAATACTTATAATAACGGCTATTAGACGCGATTTTTACAAAAAAATAATAATAAAAAGGATATTATTTTACTATACAAACTTATTGTAATATCATAACATATTCAATTGGATCCAAATTTATTCTCTGAAGTTAGAACTTGTACGTGGGGCCAAGACTTATTCAATTGAAACCCAATTTTATTTTCCAAAGCTTATTCACTTAAAATAAACTGATCCACGTATTAAAAAACCTATCTTAACATATTTTTATTTCTTGCTAGCCTCTTTTTTCGGGAACCTCACTGCCATCTTTTTTTCTTTTTCCGCGTGTACTAAGATTACTACTAATATCTATCAGTGTGACCATAAACAATAAATTATGAATCTATAGGAAATTATAAAAATGAGACTTTACACACATATAAACCTACCATTCTTGAGTCACTCTGTATACTGATGAAAACTTTAAAATCCGTTTACGGGAAGTACATATGTATGTGACGCCAGTGTTCTCCACTTAGTGGCAACCGGCATCGTTCTTAACACCTACACGATAAATATCACTAATGCTGTTTGTCAATATCAATCACTATAATATTAATAAGACCGGCGACGGTCGGGTCGGGCAGACGTTTTAGGAAATATATTGTTTGCAAAGGTGAAATTATACCTGTGATGGCATTCGCGACATTTGCATTAACGTGTATTATGAACTTTTGAGTTTGTAATGATATGCTTACTTGTTTTGAATCGATTAGGTGACTGTGTTTTTTTTAATTCCTGTGTTAATGTTATATCGCATTAAATATAATCTTATTGATCAAATTTTGCATTCAGTGTGTTATAATGAATTTTTGTAAGCATTATTCATTAATAAAATTATAATTGACCCTTTATATGATGGAATGAAGAAAATGATTAGATTGAGTTTTCTCGTCATCATCAGCCCTTTTCCGTCCCCACTGCAGGGGCTCAGGTCTTCTCCTTCTCAGGCCATATTGTTTTCAGTCGGTGATTTTTTTTTAAGCGCCCAGGTGTATTTTCAAGGATCCCTAACAATTTAAATACAATATTAACATACTTTGATAAACTCATGTGTAAAGTAATTATGATAGACACTGAACTAAATGGAAATAGGGATGACGTCTAGGTAAAAAAAAAACGAATTCTATTTAGTCCGTCAGTCAGATAATAGAAATATGTTAGAAACGTATTTTTATTTAAGTTCTTCAAATTAACAATAAATAGATAACAGGCATTAAAAAAGAGGAGTTCGCTACGCCACAGTTATGTACAAAAGTGTGACGTCATGTCACATTTTAACTCGTAATTAAGCCGTAATTTATTGATTACGAAAATAATAAAAAATACATGATTAATATTTTTTAACAATCTACCTGAAGGACAAACAAACAAAAATTAGTCGCCATCCCTATTTATGTATATAATGTTGCGATAAAAATAATCAATATAACAGTTACCTCAAAAAACGAATATTGGCTTTTTATTTTATCGTTATAATTGAAGAGTTTATGAAAAGAATGAAAATATCATTATGCTATACAAGTATTAATTGAAAACAAAATTAACGCTTCTTATAACGCCATCGTCTGTTCACCCTTAAGTACTTCAATAAAAATCAATAATCTTTCTTAAAAGTCAATAGCTAAACAACTAACTGAAGGATATGACAATATGTATTTCATGTAACATGAACTAGGTCATGACAACACTTGAACAGCGCATTCCTAATTATGATCAGACATTCAATATTTGCAGTTAGGCTGGGTCGTTCACCTAATGATGAGCAGTTTTTACTAAACACTCCGTTTGTGGTACAAAGTACAAGCGGCTACGAAAACATTGATGCTCTAGCTTTGAATTTTTAAGAGGGCGTGTATACAGTACTTAATACAAATGAGATCAATTTTGAACTATCAAATAACTTGAAAACATGTTTATGTACTTGAAACAAAAAATTCTACTGTTGCCTCTCAATGCGCCAATGAATATTATGTAAATAAGAAAACACTAATAGTCATATCAAAGCCGAAACGACTCCCAGACGAGGCTATAGATAATATGGAGCTCCCTGTAGATAGATACTTCACACGTTCGGAAGCGGGGAAAGATAGTAACTGTTCAATCGCGCATGTATAGGTTCAATATCGACATAATCAGTCTCTTCGAGGATTAGCTTATGAATTCTAATATACGTATAAGCTCAGTACTCATAGACATACGCCTATGAATCGTCCCAAACGTCCACAAGCGCACAGAGCGCGTGGGATCACGCCCCAGCATCATAATCGGGTATGCTGATCTATGCTAATGCGACCGGCACCATTACAAAACTGTATACGCCACACTCATTGGAAATTCATCTGATAATAAACCTTATTTCATTTAACATACCCGTAGCTAATGATTGCGCGCAGCCTTCAGGAGTATACTCATTGTCTGATTCACTGGGAGGGGATTCCAATTTCACGACTTCTATAATAACACAACCTGTGTGGTCAGGTGGCTTGTAGCTTTTATTTACAGTTATTGTTATTTAGGGTCTGGATGGTTGTTGTCGATTTCCTTAGAACAGCTAGACTGATTTAGTTAATTGATTTATCATAGTTGCGATAATGTCATAGACAATGTACTTTTGTTCCGTTTAAATGCATATTGAATAAATAATCAGTTAGAATATTATTAATAGAAAGATACACCAACGGATGTCCCGCCTTTCAAGAAATCAGTTAACATCTGCAATAACATACAGAAAACCCTTATTATAAGTCCGTGTTCCTAATAAAATATTGGCTTGTAGCACACAAACCGAATTGTCTTAATATTAATCAAACCGTAGTCCTAATCGGCTGTTGAGCTTAAACTGTTTGAATCATATTATTATTGTATGAATAAATAACCATCATAAAGCCAACCATACAGTGTTGCGTTTTATTGAATCACCTACGTGTACAAGATTGAGCACCTCGTTTATATTGTAAAGTGGCAGCCCTAATGCGCATCTGGGTACCGTTATAAGTTCGCTATAAACCAATATATTGGAAACTGGTCCATTGCTAGCGATTCTTGTTTAGATACGGCTCAAGTACCCCGCCGTTTGAATGTAATTTAACACATCGTTATATGGAAATGTGAGATTTGTTTTACGATTTTGTTTCGTCTGTGCCCGTAACTGATTATCTTGGAATTAAAAACACGGGAAATTGGTTGGTTTAGGAACAAGGGCGTCGCCAAAGTACCAAGATTATTTCCAATCCTAAAAGTTGATTAAAATCAACCAAGGTCCTAAGTCTTCGACTTCACTTGCTTGATCGGTCATTCCTATACGTCGAAATTCGAATGAACTTGCCAATTCTGTTGCTACACTCATCTGTGCTCTGCTCTATGATATTGGTAAAGGGGAGTGGTGCACATTCAATCTCCCGAATTATTTTAGTCTCACTTTTATTATTACAATTGCCGTAAATTTAAGGCTCGTACTACAAGTAAAAAGGTTCATATGCTATCGACTTTAGCTACAATTCATAATTAGCTCAATCTCCATAATTAACTCTAAATATTACGATTAAAATTAAATGTAATAATTTATGTGTCGGAACTGATACGTCACTGATAAGTGTGAATCAAGCCTTACACTTCATAAATCAAGCTATTGCTTTCTGTTATCTTAAAATCATAACATTGATTCACACTTGTTTTCAAATATCAATTGGTAGGTAAACCAAAGATATGTTTACAATTGTATCCTTAAAGGTATATTTTCCTTTTTCAGACGTCTATGGATCTGCCCCCGGATAAGGTGAAGCTACTACGCAATTATGACCTGGAGAAGAAGTGGGAGATCATCTGCGACCAGGACATGGTGCAGGCGAAGGACTCACCCACACACTACCTCAACAAACTACGCACATACCTCGACCCCAAAGCTTCCAGGAGTCATAGGGTTAGTAATGGTGATATTTCCACTACTTATCTCAGGTTATAGGTTCAAATAATCTGCTAGCTAGATGATAAAGAAGTAGAGTTAAAAAATGGTTCAAACACCAAAGGCTACCAAGTCTTATTTCCTTAATCGATTTTGAACTTATCTTTAAAAACAAAACTAAATGAAATATCAACTAGAGAATACGACAGGTTTAGATTACCAAATGTCCTGTTGATTGTACCTATGTTCTAATACCATTTTATAAATTAAAATTTATCAAATAATGATTTTGAACTGTCATAGCTATGTAGAGCAATTCATTCGCACTAAATTGCATTTATAATACAAGAAAACAGTAAAACCTCTCGTAGAATCTGTCTAATACATGACAATAAGACAGATACAATTTCCGTGGAGTAATATCTATCTGAATATATTCTAACCACGAGTCATAGTGTAAGCCCTAGACCCATAAAGCTAGACGCCAAGGAAATGCCGTTACAAAGACAATGTGCTATACATCAGGGCATATCGATGCAACAATTTAAGCAGACAATCGGTAATAGCGGTGGTAGCCCGAGGAAATTATGGTAATGCAGCTATTTTCTACTTTATATTGTGCTGGATTAATGTCCTGACTCTACCAGTGATGATTAGATATCGGTTCATCAACAACAGTAAGTACAATCTTTAATGATTTACTCGAGTCTATTACTCATGCGTACTAGTAATTGAACTCATTGAGTATTTTCGAGAATCTCATTATTTTTTAATTTAATGAGTCCTACACTGGTCCTAAATAAACTGTAGAGGAGTTTATGATTATGGATGATGTTTACGACCATATTTATTGATGATTGTGCCGCATCATACAATGATTCTACCAAGACAGACAAATGCGCTAACAAAGTACTTAAACTTCTGTATAAATGCGCAGCGCAGAATTGGAACAAAAATCGGGACGCGAGGTAACATCATTTAAATTGGGACTACCCTGGAAAATTTGGGATAACTCATATATGTGCAATTATCATATAAGTACTATTCAACGTTTCCTACTTCTAAGACCACCCCCACTAATGTTATCAAAAATGTTAACTCGTCATGTTAAAATTTTTGGTGCCCATGTAAAAAGTAATCCTCACATAACCTAATTGAAATTTATCCACAAGAAAGGAAGGGGATGTTTATACGTATCAGGTACATATCTAAAATATAGCAAAACATCCCTTGCGCGTTGTATGTTGTTTGCATAACAAAATCCGTCGGCCGGTGCGATATCGCGCAAAAACGAATGACAGAATGAGGCTTTAGAGTCGACCTTTTGCGGACCGGTTATCTCCATTGAGCGTACTTGGTCCGGCACATGGTGCGAGCTTTAGATCGGATGAGGTTTTTGTACCAGATATATTATTTGAAAAAATCTTCGTTCCTATTAATTGGATGAAAGCTATGCATAGATATAACTCGGTTTGGATCCTTCCAAAATGTACCCATAAGAAGAGGACTAGCGTACGGTTCGTCTAATTGTGGTGCTAACATAGTTAACAGGGAGAGCGAAATTCGATATTTTAATATTTGAGTTGAAGACACATGGAGTAGTAAACAAAAATATTAAGGATAAAATATATTAATCATTAAATGGTTTTAGAGATTACTCTGTCATATTTGTGTTCAAGTTTGTTTAAATACTTTTTCGCTTAATTTGCACATCGGTAGAAAAAACACCCATAATGTAAAAGCATAACCTCGTCTTTTGAATCTCTGCAAAAGCCGGCGTAATTACTGCCACGATACGAATATAACAGGACAAGTGACAGATTGATTTCGAGCAGTGATCAATCACCGTAGAGTTTTTATAATGTCGTTGACGAGTACCGTAATAAACAGTATCCATATTTTCAAATAAACAATTACCATTCCCCCTTTCAAGTCATCATCAGCAGCTATTAATGCCCCTGAATGCTGAAGCGGAGCCTATCTCTATTGACCGAATCATACGGAATACTGGCTGTAGCAGATGGACTGTAGCTGACTTAACCCTAAATTGGCAAGATCTTTTTGTTCCAAATTATGCTTAATTAAGTGATATATCTGATTGTGACCTAAAAAGCATAAAAAAATTATTTAAAAAAATCCATCATTTCAGTTTTTGCGAAAACAGTGTACTTCACGAATTACGTTGCCAACTAGTATGAAAGCTATGTTCCTATAAATATACTAGGTGGAGTCCGTCGCCAAGAATAAATAAACCATATTTGTGAATAAATTCTTTATTTTAATTTATTATAATTATTTTGTGTGAAATGAAGAAAGCAGTTCCTTTTATTATTTTCTCCGACAACAAAACACAAGTGCATATGCATTTTATGCAAAACACTTTGGTTCTGCCAACTTTACAGAATCTACACCGCGACTGCTTGTTACGAGACTCAGGAAAATGTCCAACTGCATCATACCGGACACATCAGCAGGTCTTTGAACAGCTGGTTTCTGAATTTTTTTGTGATCATCAATCTTTTCTACACCTATGAAGTAGTGCTTTTGCCTGCTCGACACAATCCCTCAAACAACTCTAGGCGAAACTCTTGAGAGATTTCTATCTTTAGTATCTCGCCTATATAAAAGCCATGCGTTACTGATGCACATCTAGTAGTTGCGCAATATACGTAGATACCATCTTCGGCTTTTAAATGGTGTGCGATACAGAGAGATCAGCATATCGGCAAGGTCGACACCACCCATGTGTTGTTATAAGCGCGAACCAACTGAGGGCAGTCGATATCTATTTTGGCCTTCGCATCCTTTGTATATCTTCTGATCTTGTCTATGGGATACGAATCCATAAAGGAACTTATTAACGTTACCACCTTGTTATCGTTTCACTTAACAACTGCTAATTTGTTACGATTGCATACTACTTGAGAGCTGTAGCCTTTTCTTCTTTTTCATTTCCTTATCTGAAGGTAGAAGCTGTTCACAACCTCTTAGTCGGTTTGCCCTTAAAGTGCCAAGGCTAAACACCCCATACTCTTCTCGCAACAAATAAACCAGTTCGGGAGAAGTAAAGAAATTGTCAGCATATATGATAGATGGCTTTTGTTTTATTGTTTTACATAAAGTTATCACTACCATACCCCCAACACCAAGTGATGCCTCTTGTGACGTGAAGGTTTGTTCACGAAATGTGTCTTCACCACCGTACATCATAAAGTCATAGATCAGACCTGAAATGCCAGTTCGTACAAATTTTTGTAACCCCCATTTCTTGGGTTTGTTCTTGATATATTGCCTTCTTTTACCGGCTTTCGTGCCCTGTATGGGATCATCATCTCATCTATGGAATACTGACCTTCTTCTTCAATTTTCAAAAAATTTTGTCGAATCTTTTCCATAACTGGACGAATTTTGAAATATCGGTCCGAGTTCTCTAAGGTGTTGTCGACAAAGTGAATATTCGAAGTATTTGTTGATAACGCTTAAGAGACATTTCGTTCGCTATTAGTGAATATCTAGTTCTTCTGGCCCAATAATCAGTGTATGCTGGCTTCGATTACCCATCAGGATTTTGATTGCGAGAAAACTCTTAAGTTCATTGGTATTTAACTGGATTGATTTACCATATTGTTGAACCGAGTACAAATTAGTATTGTGAACGATATCTTCGATAATTTCGGATGAAAAAAACGAGTAAAAGTAATCTAATACTGTATTATATGGCGATTTATGGAGTTCGTGCACGTTGTCGTCTATAAATGCTCTGCAACGCAAAGAAGTTTTCTTCCAGTTGAAATTTAGTGCAAGCTTAGGCTTTTTTACTGTTTTTGCTGTAACAGATGTTTTTTTGCGTTAGATCTAGTGATTGGTATATTAGTGGCTGTCGACGTGCTGGGTACCGGTGACTGAAGGGCTTCTAGTGATGGTGTGTGTAACGTGGCTTTTGATGTGCTGGGAATCGGGGATTCAAGAACTTCTACTGATGGTGAAGGCAGGGATTGATAGAATCTAATGTGGGGATGGCGTTGTAATTATCCACTGAAGGGGATGGAAAGATCTCTTGAAATGTAGGTGTTAACGGTATGTGTTCGAGGTTATGATTAGATGCGTTATCAGAATCGTCAGCTAAAATATTTAGTCGTTCGAATGAGGAGTCTAATGAAGGTGGATCAGAACTAACGTTTGAGAGTGGTAATGTAATATGATTTGCCTCATCGTCGGACTGGAACTATCTTCTGAACAAGCATTTTTCACAGGAACCAAGCCAGAATCTTGTGCGATCGTGTTAAAGTCAAGCACTGCAGGCAAAGAAAAAAAGGGCATGCCATATAACAAAACAACCACACCCAGTAGCTGGAACGCAGTATGAAAAAAGGAAAAACATTTGTATAGGTACTTGGCAATGTACTTCGTGTATACCATAGTCAATTTAGTATTCTTTACACCTTATTTGGCAACGGCATTCACGTAGTACGTTCACGCGCACAGCCCATAATGTCAAATGTATATAATATAAACATCTAAAACTGAAGTTAGATATATTTATACTATTCCCATGCAATGTAAAGCGAATAACCACAGTTTCCATACAAAACATAAAAAAATACGAAAATAACTTCCCGCTTCACAGACACACCCGGCCGCTTCGAAATCATTTTGATTTTGACAGTTGGTCGTAATGTTGCTACAGTATAAATTACTTTCTACCAAAATTTATAGTTTTTAGAAGCTAATAAATTAATAAATTTTAAAATAGTTCGATAAATTAAGCTGTAGATTTGTACGAATTCAGTGTACTCTGTGTAGTACGCTATCAATTTAAGGGTTAAAACGGGCAGGTAGCAGAGGTCTCGAATAAAACACTTGGTTCGGAGAAACTCGGACAACGTTCGAAGGCAGAACATGCTTTATTGCGCAAAATCGATACTTATGTACAATTTGGTTGATCGCACTTAGCTCATATACAAATCAGTTAATCTTATAAGATTCCTAGAGACGGGTACGCTCCCCGCACCGCGCGGGGAGGGGAAGGTTTCGTTGTTTCTCCGTTGGTGGCGCTGTTGTCGCGGCGTGGCTCGGTGTCCTTTACATTGGCCGTAACCCCCAATGCTAGAGTTTTGGGTGTTAACGATTGCAAATTCAACCAAGACTCACGGTTTACCAAGTGTTTTGGGTAACTCATTCCATTTGTCTACCTCAGCTCCTCAAGCCGTTCGTTATGAAGATTACCTCGGTGTCAACATTTCCAATCTCTCCTCTCGAAGATATCGATGATGTGTTTATTTAATGAGATGAGTCATACGGCAGGTGTTAGTGAACTCGCGAAGACGTGCGGGTTACATCATATCTATTGTATCGTCAGCCGATACGTGAACGACCGCGTGACCTCATAACGCATGTGACCCTCGATATTTGGTTCACTTTGTTGCCATTTGTCTAGCACTTGAGCGTAAAGCGAAAAGTAATACAGAATTCTGTCTTGAAGGTGAAACCTCATTGTGGGGTTGGAATTTTATATCTTCGAAAGATAGCGGCAGTGTTCTTATTATATTTTATGTTTTGTATTTTTGTTTTTGAATGTTAATATTTTTATACTGAAATGTATTTTAAGTTTCTATAAATACTACAGTATTTGTACTGGGCTAATTTTGTACTTGTTAATAGTAACCAATTTTGAAGTGCAAAAAGCACTTATACAGTAAAAGAATTAAAAAAAAAACTAAAATTAACCAAATACGCTGAAATTAGCGAAATGGGCAGTAAAATAAAAAAATATTCAGAACACCTCTGTTTGTGTTTTCTTACAAACAAAATTTAACAGTTTAAATTAGCCACACAACAAAAGCATTGAGCACGCACAATATCAGACTTGCAAAATGAAAAAAACAAACTAATATTATTGAAAGCTTTTGAAATCACTTATTACTGATTACGACTCTAGTTTCTTACTTTGAATAAGTTAAACAGAAACAATAAATTTTCGGTACACAATACTTATAAATAACTGGTTGTTGATAAAATGGTCTCCATCATCTAACCAACTTGACCTGTTGCTAACGATGACCCCGCTCGTTTAAAATTATTAAAACCACCAAGCATACCCGTTACTGACCCCGGAGTTCATCGAGATACTACACACTAATGATTTCGGCAACAATTAGTGTTACATAGATAAACGTTCACCGACCGAACTGTGGTGGTGTTCTAAATAAGGGTCGAGTGAAGAGCGTCAACGAGAAACGAGCATGATGTATGTAACTATTGATGGATTTTGAGATGTATAGAGATGCAAAGTCCGGTATATTATTAACAAGTCTATCTAGGTATGACGCCAGCGCGTCTACATTTATAACTAATTAATACAGACTACGACACGTCAGGTCATACAAATCTGTTGAAATTCTTCACTTTTCCTCTCACGTCGTCTAACTGATAGGTTGTGTAATCTGACGAATTCGAACTTTTATTAGAAGCATAGAGTATTTATTTACAGTTTTATGGAATTGTTCCGGCATTTAGCAGGTAGACTATCTAAAAATGACGATCAGACTTCTTGGCTTTATTATTTGTCATAATAGTATTTTATTTTAATATATTTAGTAACGTAACACTTATTTCATGTCAAGTGTCTACAAAATATAGAACATCTATTTATTATTATATGTCATAATAGCGCTCACAGTAACAGGTCAAAATTTCGAGTCTTTCCCTAATACAAATACAGCAAACGGCAAAGTATTATTATATTTGCATCAGTTTAATATAGAACCCTAAAATTACTGTAACGTTCTCTAAGGAATTCCCTTATTGAATCAATTATTCAGAGTATAGGTCGCGAGTCTCTAGAGTCTGCGTCGCTAGGTCACTTTGTGTAGGTACTGTGTGACAACCTGAGTCATATTCAGCTACGTCGTGTCTGTACTAGGCCTTGGCACAATACACAAGTGACGCGACCAATCGCGTCACATCAATCAATTAATCAATCCGAATAATAGTGCAGGCAAGCTGTGAATGGCTGTGATTTCCCACTGATTCCTGTGGAAGAAGGAAAAGTTGCCTGATTTGTAATACGGGAATTTACTTATGACGCTTATTTGCGGAATGCGTGCGAGATGTTTATAATTCTATGAACAAAAATTGAACATGTTGTCCGTGATGAACAAAAGAAACCGAAAAATAACTCTATATTCCTGAAATTGTAGTTCAAAAATGGTTATAAGAATTATTTTACAAAGGAAACTTTTGAATTATAACTTGGTCCAAACATGCATCGTGGGCGTCCAGACGTGAGAGAGAATTGTTTGCATGACACACTTATAAGGTGCCACACTTGCGGTTACAAATCAGATATATGCTCGAGGGGAAATAATCTTTGTACCAATTCGTGATTGTTTATTTGTACTGGCTATGAGAGCTTGTGGAATATTTTGTGATTACTTGTAAACTAAGGGGCGGTGCGGTCCTAATTGGTTAACGGATGTGTGACCAGATGAATTTTTCTCTAAGTTGGTTCCCAGATGCATGCTTACTAAGCCCGTAAAGGTGTACTCAGACCTGTCATGGAGTCACCGGGACTCTTAGCCTTTCTAACGTGACCATCAAAGGAACTGCAGATCTCCATGGGACCGTTTCCCGCAGGTTTATCTTTGATTGTGTGATCAAACCGATGAAGTGATGGTTTTGAAGCTTTTGTTGTACTTTTGCGATGGAAAATCTATTAGGACATCCAAATATATTTTTGTGGTTAAATTTCGGTCGTACGAAATTGTATCGGTTGCTTTTTCTGGTAACCAAATAGGACCATGCTTAAATCAACGCAATGTGTGTTTGCTCAGCATGTTTATGAGGATTGGAATATATCTGATACGAGAACCATAAGGGTCATCTTAGATAAAATATAACGTCGTGATCGCCTTTCACTTTAGACTAATGTTCGCTAATAACGTGGTTCTTGAAGCAGTTATGAAGGTTAAGGGGGACGAAATGACATATCATGCTTTTGTAAATTTCTCCCATAAAATTATTTGTGAAGAATATCGACATGCCCTTATCTATTGTAGAGGGCACATAGTACACAATAACAGACAATTTTATTGCGCACATTATAAAATAAATTGTAGTTTTGTAAGTCTGGGGCTATTCCTGGATTAATATTTAGAAGAACTAAACCTGTCAGCCTCTCTTCTAATATGTCTGCTCTCAACCAAGTACTAAAACGAAGAAGCGTAAAAAATGATCTCTGTCGCACCGCTTATATGAAGAGTTGCCAGAATTTTCAGAAGTCTGTATATTTAGGTAGAAATCATCGCATATTACGATTTTAGAAAGAAACCTGACATTTAGGAAATTGAATTGATACTAGAAAGCAAAGCACAAAATGGATCTTGGTTCGGTGCAGAAATTACTTTTTGATATTTTTTGACTTGTGGATTTTACAATATGAAGTGTACCTCGTCGTACCTGCTTGAGCAACTGCGATACCTCTAGAGTAGAGATAGCAGAACAACAAATTCTTTTATTCTATCTGTATGAAGTTCACTTGCAAGTAAAGCATTAAAGCTTTTACACGACTTCCCAATCCCAAAAAACGAGTCTATTAGTAAACTGTGGTAACTGTTAGTAGTATATGCGGTAGTTTCTGTACATGACAATTGAGAGTTATATTTTTCGCGCTTCAAATAAATACTCACAGCGAAATGTCTTTGAGATCATGAATTTTATAATATATTTATCTCCTTTAGAATATTTTTAAGTATAGCATTGTGAAATATATTTATCTGTTTATGATACAGAAAAGAAAAATGGTTGGCGATTCAACGTCGACGCAAGTTCTTAGGGATCTGGAAATATCGTTACGGACGAATCACATCGAGTAAGTTATTAATGATCATATTTTTTTTTTAAATAATGACTCCAGAATAATGCACAGCAATACACAAAACAAGGGAAACGTAGGTCAAAATATCTTTTTAGAACTCATTCATAGTTTTTATCATTATAATGTATTTATTATAAAATTACAGACGTATTTACGCCTTTTTTAATGTTGATATATCGAATGACTTATTACAAGATGAATAACTGTTTTTTCAAAGATGGGTCCGAGAGTTCCTGAACGAACAGAATCAGGGTTTGGACGTGCTCATCGACTACCTGAGCTTCAGGCTGAGCATGATGAGGCATGAGCAGCGGATAGCCCTCGCCAGAAGCCAATCGAGTGACGGCATCAATCAAGGTAGGTAACAAGAATTTTTGGGTGTACCTTCGTTGTCTCAGATGCTTCATAATACGGAAAACTTAGCTGGAATCTGAACTATATGTGTGTGATGTTGTTTAATCATCATCATGATCAGTCCTTTTACGTCCCCAGTGCAGGGGTTTCAGGCCTTTTTTATGAATGGTTCAGGAGGGTGGGTCATGATCCTCCACACTGGCCCAATGCGGATGGGAAGGTTATTAACGACTGCGAATGCAGCCGGGATCAACAGCTTATAAAATTGACAACAACGATTATGGGCCACGGCTCTTATCCACGATTCCACCGTTGTTATTTAATATTCATTGTATGTTAAAGTTTGAACTTTCCCTTAGTAGCGAACACTACATCATCGGACTGCACGAGTGGCGCGGAAGCCAGTTCGACGTTGAATGCGTCGTGGAGGCGGCGCGCGCGCAGCACGGACGCGGAGCTGGAGGCGACGGGCAGCCCGGCGGTCGCGCGCCGCCGCACCCGGCACGCCGCCAGGCTCAACATGGGCGCCTCCACCGACGACATACACGTCTGCATCATGTGCATGCGCGCCATCATGAACAATAAGGTAGAATAATAATACCGACGTTTATTTCGCTCTAGTTTAGCCAATTAAACATAAAATTCTTAGTGAATTATACTATTAAACCCTAAAATAATGTTGCCCTTGCTGGAACATTTTTTCAAGGATAGAATAAGGAATGATGGGATTGACTTTTTCAAAAGGATAAAAACCCCTTAAAATAAAAGAATATGCATAAAGGAGAACAAGCTACACACGCAAAAACACACACTACACATGCACATGCACGCACACACAGTACGAATTGGCGGGTGTTGTAGACGCAAAAAGTTCGATTCGTCCGATTTGAATTTTTTCAGCACTATAATTCTTTTTATCTAGTTACTTAACCCTACACTGCATTCAGTCCCTTATATAGTACAACCAATAAAATCGATGTTTTTTCTGATTTGAACCAAGTAGCGACATCTATGATTACGCAAATAAATTGACAACAATCATTGGCACCCATTTAGTGCATTCGTTGAAATCGGATGGCAGCACTATCTCTCGCGGTTAGTTATTCAATTAAAAATTTTGAACGTTAGCCGCGCGCCGTGCGTATACAATTTGCAAAAATAATAAATAATAGTTGTTTACGGAATGCAACAGTGGATAAATTGTTTTTATATAGAAATATCTGTGAACTGAACGAAAGTAAGTATATTTTTCTGATTTAATCGCGATTTTATACTAAATTTTCACAATTTCTGTATGTTCCCGATGAGTCACTTCATGCAGTGATGGTACAATATTAGGTATATTCACTAAAGGTGTGATGCTGTTTTTTTTTAGATAATGGCGAAGAAAAGCTTATCCAGTGCTCAAATCCAAAATTATTTGACAATACCATTAGGCAGTGAAGATGAACAAGACTCCTCAGGCGCTGAAAGTGACAATGACATAACCGTAATTCGATCTACCATCAACAAACTTTGTGAAACGTTTAGCGATACGGATGACGAAGAGGAATCTGTTTTATCGAATAGATATGACTACGTTTCACCATTATCAGGGTCCTGTGACGGTGATATGCAGCAGTATATATCAAATACTAGTGGATCAATTCCTGATGTTCCAAGTACATCTAGATCAACTGTTTGGCAAACACGTCAATCTACAGTTGTATCTTCCGCGTCTACTGTTCCAAAAGACGCTGCTTCTACTTCTGCTGCACCCGTCGCCAGAAAAAAGCGTAATATTATCTGGAAAAAAACAGCTTTCCAACCAACAACCCATGAGTTTTGTGGGCAAACCGATCTAGAGCCACCGATTACTGAACTTGAAACTCCATTGCAATATTTTTTGTACTTCTTTGATGATGATTTTCTAAGTCATATCGTAGAAGAAATGCATAAGTTTAGTGTACAAAAAAACCCATCAAAGCCTTTTTCTACAAGCGTTACAGAGCTGAAAAAGTACATAGGTATCTGTCTGCTAATGGGCATTGCCCCACTGCCGCATACTCGAATGTACTGGGAAACTGAATTAGGTTTGCCATTGATAAAAAATACTATGTCAGTAAACCAGTTTGAAAAAATTCGTCAATATCTGCACTTCAATGACAATACCACTCAGTCACCAGCAGGTACTGCAACACATGATCGTCTCCATAAAATCAGACCTGTGTTAGAAACCCTAAAAAAAAAATGTCAAGCTATACCAAAACGACAAGCATTGTCAGTGGATGAGCAGATGTGCGCGACTAAGGCCTCCAACATGCTGCGACAATATCTACCTAATAAGCCACATAAATGGGGGTATAAACTGTTGGTGCTGTGTGATGATCGAGGATTTGCGTACGACTTCGAAATATACTCTGGGATGGAGAATAACGCAGATCTGAGGCTTCATAATGAGCCTGATTTAGGCGCAAGTGCCAACATTGTTATCCGGCTTGCAAGGTCTATACCCAGGGATAAATATTACAGATTATTCTTCGATAATTACTACACATGCCCTGAATTGATTATGTATCTTGCCAATGAAGGGATATATTCTATGGGAACCGTGAATAAAGGACGACTAGGCAAATCTATACTAATACCATCATTGAAAGATCTAAAAAGTAGCAAGAAGGAAAGAGGATATTCCGAGGAATGGGTAGGCAATGTAAATGGCACTGATATCGTCACAGTTATGTGGTACGATAATAAGCCGGTGGTGTTGTCTTCATCTTTTGTTGGAAAAGAGCCTACTCAAAAAGTAAGGAGGTTTTGTAAAAAACAAAAGAAATATATAGAAATCGATTGCCCTCAAATTGTTCGCAACTACAATCAGCATATGGGTGGAGTTGACTTGCTGGACTCATTCCTGGGTAAGTACAAAATAAAGATGAGGACAAAGAAGTGGTATTTGAGGCTGTTTTACCATTTCCTCGACATAGCCACCATAAATAGTTGGTTGCTATACAGAAGAGTTGGGGAGATGCGACAAAGAGCTACGCCGCTAAAGTTGAAAGACTTCAAGTTTGAAGTGGCAAAGAGCCTCTGTATGTGTGGTTCATCAATGAACAAGAAAAGAGGCCGACCGTCTTCTGCTAGTGATCTGATAGAGGCAAAAAGAATGAGAGCCAATTCAGCGATTCTTCCTACTCGTGACGTCAGGTCTGATGGAGTGGAACACTTCCCCATATGGGGACAGAAGCGCCAGCGATGCAAGTATCCAGGCTGCAAAGGAAAGTCGTTTGTTGTGTGCGAAAAATGCAGAGTCGAACTTTGTTTAAACAAAGATAAAAATTGCTTCCGTTTATTTCACCTCTAAATAAGCAAATTTATGTAAGTCATTGCATGTTGTGCCACATATGGAACAAAATAAAAAAAACATTTTTCTGTATTACTATTAGTTTTTTTTCAATTTACCTGTACTTCCCGTGTTCTAGACCATAAACATGAACTGGTAAGATTTTTTATTTAAAAAAAAAATCATGCAGTGTAGGGCTAAGAGAAGTAACGACAAACATTTGTGTCTGAAGTATTACTATCGATAGTATCAATACTACTGGTAATAGTTTCGATATTCTAATCGATAGGATGACTGTTTTATGTCTTGATGTGAAAAATAATGCTAGTAATATATCGTGTCCGCAGTATGGCTTTAACATGGTGATCCAGCACCGAGAAGCGATCAACAGCATAGCGCTCTCGCTGGTGCACCACTCGCTACGTACCAAAGCCCTCGTGCTGGAGCTGCTGGCGGCCATATGTCTGGTGAAGGGCGGCCACCAGATCATACTGTCAGCCTTCGACAACTTCAAGGAAGTGGTCGCCGAGCCCAGGCGGTTCCACACTCTCATGGAATATTTCATGAACTACGACCAGTTCCACATAGAGTTTATGGTGAGTCTGCTTTAAAAAGTTTTTTTTTTTTATCTAGATAGGCAAGCACTTGACCACAGATCACCTGATGGTAAGCAATGCAGTGGTCTAAGATAGGGCGTGCTTGCCTAGAAGGAACCGATTCACTCTTGAGAGTATATATATGAGAATACCATAAAATGTCATTCACAGTCAATTTACATCTACTATCTCATAGTGTGTTCCGTTTTACGCTTTTGTTATGCTGTTCTTGTTTTTTGTTTAATTGTGTAATTTTACTTAGTATTTTAGTGTGAAAGATTTCTTTCTACAATTTTATTGTTTTTGATTTGTGCAATTGTTGAAATTTGGTATAGTCGTTTCTGTTAAGTTTTATTGCTGGTAGGTTGTACTAATGCGCATAATTTTATTTATCGATTTTTATTTTATGTAATTTTGCTTAATATTTTGCTCTTTATATATATATTATATTTATATATATTATTTTTATATATATATAAGTAATAGTATCTAACTATAGCATACATTATGCTTAATTCTGCTAATGATGATACTCAAGACTTTTTATCTCTTTGTTCCTCCTCTGATGGATTGAACAGTAATGATAGTTTTTGTAGTATTCCATCTTTAAACAATTGTCTCCAATCTATAACATCAGATGTACCCAAAAATTTTAATATAGCACATATTAACGCACAGAGTATTCCTGCTCACTATCCCGATTTTCTAGTAACTTTTTCTGATAAAAATATTCATGCCGTACTTGTTTCGGAATCATTTCTTCATCCTTCTCTTCCCTCTACAGCTTACTCACTTCCTGGTTTTCAACTCATTCGCAACGATCGTACTAATACTTCCCATGGGGGCGTGGCCATTTATTTACGAAACCATATTCCTTTTACTGTTATCAGCAGATCTCCTCAACCCCCTCCGCCAGATACTGCAGAACACCTTTTTCTAGAGATTACTCTTTCTCACACCAAAATTCTGCTGGGCGTTTTCTACAGTCCATCTTTAAGAGTAAATTATTTTTCTTCTTTCGAGAAACTTTTAGAAGATCTCATTCCTTCCTACAGCCATTCTATCATTATGGGTGACTTTAATACATGCCTTCTAAAAGACGATTTCCGTTCTAATAGTTTAAAGTCCCTCGTTAATGCTTGCAATATGCATATACTTCCTTTAAATGCTACCCACTTCTTTCCAAATTGTGCTCCATCGCTTCTCGATTTAATTATCGTTTCCTCCCTTGACCATGTGGCCAAACATGGTCAATTCACTGCTGATGCATTTTCATATCACGATTTAATATATCTCTCTTATAAAATTCGACCTCCCAAAGACAAGCCTAAAACTCTTCTGCAACGTAATTTTGGTGGCATTGATATGAATTGTCTCCGTGCTGATGCCCTATCAATTGATTGGTCTATCATCGAAAGCGCTTCGACTGTTGAGGAACAAGTTGATTTATTTAACGATTCATTAACCCAGTTGTATGATCGTCATGCACCTTTGCGACCTATTAAAATGAAACACCTGCCTGCGCCTTGGTTAACTGAGGAAATCAAATCTTTGATGAACAAAAAAAATCATGCTAAGGCTAAATACAAGTCTAACCCAACTGATATGAATCGTGACAAATATCATAGAATAAGAAATCGCTGCAATACAGTGTGTAGGGATGCACAGCGACGCCATATTCATAAATCTGTGGAAAGCGGTGATCCCGCTAAAGTTTGGAAATTTCTTAGGTCTCTAGGAGTTGGTAAGGCTCGTAATGTTAATTTAAATCAAGATTTGGATATTAACTGCTTGAACAGTCATTTTTCTGCTGCTTCTCCTCTTGACGCTAAAGTCAAAGAGGAAACTTTGCTATACCTTTCTTCACTGCCAACTCCTGCCTTTACTCCATTTGTGTTTAGTCAATTCTCTGGTTGTGATGTTGAGGGAACCATTCGTGCCATAGACTCTAAAGCACTTGGTAACGACAATATTGGCCGTAACATGATTCTTCCTTTGGTTGACATTCTAACGCCTATTATAACTATAATCCTCAACAAATCCATTGCTTCTAGTACTTTTCCAAGTATATGGAAGGAAGCTCAGATAATTCCTCTCCCTAAAAAATCCAATCCAGTTACGATGTCTGATTTCCGACCTATTTCCATACTTCCTTTCCTGTCCAAGGTCCTAGAGCGTCTAATTAACAGACAGTTAAGTGTATTTCTAAATAAAAATAACCTATTAAATCCTTTCCAATCCGGTTTTCGTCCCGGTCACAGTACAGCGAGTGCCTTAGTTAAAATCGGCGACGACATTCGCTCTGGTATGGAGAAGCGCAAGCTTACAGTATTAACATTACTTGATTTTAGTAATGCTTTTAATAATGTTGATTTTGACATACTGTTAAGCTTGATGAGTTCCCTTAACATATCTCCAACTGTTATTGACTGGTTTCGTAGTTATCTACACGGACGCCGGCAACGTGTACGTATAGGAGACTCTTTCTCTGAGTGGAGCTTTACGTCTGCTGGTGTTCCTCAGGGCGGCGTGCTTTCTCCCTTATTATTCGCCATTTTTATTAATTCTATTACTCATAATCTAACTTCCACCTACCACTTGTATGCTGATGATCTTCAAATTTATACGCAAGAGAGATTTGATAACTTGAACGATGCTATCCGCAAGATCAATATTGATTTAGATCGTATAGTGAACTGGAGTTCGTCATTTGGTTTGAATGTTAATCCTAAGAAGACTCAGTGTATAATAATTGGCAGCCCTTACTTTGTGTCCAGGATTGATTTCGGGCAGTTGTCGAAAATTACTTTGGACGGGACAGTGATTCCATTTACAGATACGGTGAAAAACCTAGGACTTTTATTTGACAAATCTTTATCCTGGAGACCACAAGTTGCAGAAGTTAGTAGACGAATGTTTGCTTCAGCTGGGGCGCTGCGGCGCTTACGTAACTTCTTACCAACTGCCACCAAAATTACTCTTGCACAATCCCTACTTCTACCTATACTCGATTATGCAGATGTGTGCTATCCAGACCTTACAGTTGAGCTTCTTAATAAGCTAGAACGTCTCCAAAATTTCGCCATAAGGTTCATATTCGGACTGCGTAAATATGACCATGTCTCTCACTATCGTCAAAAGTTGAATTGGTTGACCATTCGCCGACGCAGAGACCTACACATATTATCCCTTCTCTTTTCTGTGCTGTTCAATCCATTGTCACCCAGATATCTCAAGGAGAATTTTAAGTTTCTTTCCTCTACTCACAATCTTCCCCTTCGTTCGTCTGACAATCTCCGCCTTTACATACCGCCTAACTTTTCTCAATTTTACAGCCAATCTTTTACCCTGCGAGCTATCCATTTATGGAATTCCTTACCTGAGAATGTTAGGCGCGCCCAAACGCTGGAGTCTTTCAAATCTCTAGCTGCGAAGTTCTTTTTGTCAGATGAACAGAAATCTACTTGATATGTTGCTTTCTTATCATTGTATGTTTGTTTATTTTATGTAACTTTATTATCATATTTATATTTCTATTAATATTATTAAATTTATTTGTAACGCGCACAGCCTACCTACATTATTGTCATCATTGCTTCTTCCAGTATAGGTTGCCTGGAAGAAATCGCTGTTAAGCGATAAGGCCGCCTATTGTGCAATAGTTTTAATATTTGTAAGTTACTCGTTATTTATTTCTGTTGTGTGTTGTACAATAAAGTGTTTTTATCTTATCTTATCTACTTTCTGAATTGAGAAATTAAAGTTGAGCATGTCTTATACTGTATGAGTACTTAAATGTCACTTAAACAGGTTTAAGATTCTGATTTTGAGTTTTTTTAATGATTTATTGATAGCAATTTGATAAAACTAGGATTTTTACTTGTGAGTAAAAGTAAAAAAAAACTTAAGTGATGGAAAATAATCAGTTGAGATTTTCAACTTTTCTCAATTCAGAAACTAGCCGTTAGAACTCTATATTTTACACCTAAGTTTAATTAAATTTAATTGCTGAAATTCGTTATGAGTCTACCTTGTAAATAATTGACCTTAATACAACTGTTATTGAATTTAGGTCCTTTAGCGTATGATCAAAGGCTGACTTGATCATCTGAAGTTCATATCAAGGAAGTTCTACTTTGTCACTAGGAAACCTGCAATATGTCTGTGAGACGTCTCATCATTATCAGTCCTTTTACGTCTCCATTGAAGGAGCTCAGACCTACATTTATGACCTCCACGCTGGCCCAATGCGAATATGAGGTTTATATATCCGCCGAGCTAGTTCGTGAGACGTCTAATAAAAAATTTTTTTTTTCGATTATATCTATCTCCAGGGTTGGCAAAGACTAGAGCTTCTATGCATTAGAAGTTGATTGAGAAGTTTCTACATTACGATATTTTCTGTATCAGGTGGCATGTATGCAGTTCGTGAACATCATAGTACATTCCGTGGAGGATATGAACTTCCGTGTACACCTGCAGTACGAATTCACGGCGCTCAAGCTCGACGACTATTTAGAAAGACTGCGACACTGCGAGAGCGAGGATCTGCAGGTCAGTAACCATCATCATCATCCTATTAATGTACCCTTGTACAAGTCTTTGTTATGGACAGAATCACCGGGACAACGGGTCCAGTGTGGATTGGTGATATTTGAATAGTGCATTCGTAACCAGGAGCGACGGCAATGTGTCTTCTGAGGTTCGATATAATTAATTTTTAGCATCCACCCAGCCTATGCGAATGTTACTTATCTTCCTATGGATAACCAGCTACGGATCGTACCAATCGGATCGGTGGGTAATTGCAGGCAGGCACGGTTCTAAGGGAGGGCAAATGGGGACACTGGCCCCGGGTGCCAATTTCAGAGGGTGCAATAATCATATAATAAAGTTGAAAAAGAATGAGCTTCAGTCGGAAGTTCAGAGGGGGGTGCTAGAAGTGTGATTTTTTGTGTTTTGTGTTGGAAAATATCCATCCGGGTCTGTTAACAGATGCCAATTCGGAGCTCCGGAGCTCTCCTTGCAGGTTCCCGGATACCCCCCCCCCCCCCCTCCTCCTACCTTAGTGAGGATCGTGTAAAAAAACAAAAAGTGCCAGTACCGAGATCAACCGGCTTATCGCCCCAAGCACGGGGGAGCTCGAGATATTTGTATATCGTTAGTGTGATTTGTATTAATAATATCTACGTTTCCACATGTAGGTGCAAATATCGGCCTATCTAGACAACGTGTTCGATGTAGCCGCCCTCATGGAGGACAGCGAGACGAAGACCGCCGCCTTAGAGAAGGTCAACGAGCTCGAGGATGAGTTGGGCCATGTGAGTACTAAGAGTAAAAAATTGAAAAAGTATGCCTATACCGACTTTATCTAGATTTTTTACGTCTTTCGGAATTATATTCATATTACCAAATATTATACTCTAATAGAGACTACTTTGGAGTGTGTATGAATAAATGCTATATATTTGTACAAAAATTCGTAATTTTTGATAGTTTAGTTACCGCGAGAGGCGCTGTGCTGGTTTTGAGACAATTTTACACATTCAATTGCGAACGTCAGTCAACGTGGAAACTCATACTCGGCGTATACTGTATTATTTAGCTAAATGAATTATTTCCATAACTTGCTCATACCAAGATTCTAGATAATTATTTCGAGAACCATAAAATTTTGTAAGTGCAATAACAAATATATGTATAAAATAAACAGGCGCACGAGAGGCTGGCGGCGTTAGAGAGGGAAGCGATAGGTAAACTGGCGACGCTCGAAGCGGAACTGGCGCAGGCTCGCGCCGAACGAGACCAACTGGCTGAAGCCAGGCGGCAAGTCGTTGAAGAGGTAAGAAATATTAACAATATCACCCTTAACCTTTAAACCAAGACTCTCGAACCACCCAGAAGAGTTAGAGATAGAGAGAGAGTAAGAAGGACAGATTGAAGCGTGGTTGACGTACGTTTTAAAACCTGTTACGAGATACTCTCAATTGGGGATGAAGTGGGGGGACGGGGCTCCGGAATCCAGTAAAGGATCCGCTGCATTCAATTCCACATCGTCAGCCTACCCAGCCCAGGCTTTCATATGGATGGAATTGAATCGAATATGTGGAGTTAATTTGTATAATTTTGCGTGAAATTAAGTTTCAATAAATAGACTCTGTGCTGATTGGTGGGCATAAATGACTACACTTCGCTTACTAGACGTCGTGCTTTACGTTACGAAGCGCAGATGAGATAAAGATGGTAAATTTTTGGTCACCCATCCTATGAACGACCTTTACCGGAATTGTTTAACCCCTAAATCGCGGTCTGAACGACTGCGACTGACTGCGTCATTGAGTTGAGAAAATACGAAGACAAAAAATATAAAATGTCATCTTTTATAAAATAACCTATTAATATTACTTCTACCATGATGGAAGAACGTGCTATGAACCACCTACGGGCAGCTCGTATCGTTGTGTTAACGAAATGCAGGCTTTAAAAAAGAAATAACGATCGAGGTCATTGGGTTCCTCACTTAAATTTAAATTACTTTAATTTTAAATATTATATTTTACATTGTAATATATTTCTTAGTAAGCAGTTAATAGTGTACATTGTATTTCTGTATCGTTCTTGCAGGTATCGACGCTAAGGCGAGCGCAACAGGACTCTAGAAATAGACAATCGATGCTCGAATCGAAAGTTCAAGAGTTGGAAACTCTTACCAAGTCATTACCCAGAGGGGCGTCAAGTAAGAGGAGCTTTAATTATATTTTTTTATATACAAACTTTTTGTTAGTTTGGTTCTCTGAAACGACTGGATGAATATACAATTATTTACGTATCTATGCGGAAGACTAAATTTCAAAGCGTCTGAATCGCGCCGGGTACGAGTGAGACAGATGCCCAATGTGTGAGATTTTAAATTTTACGCTCATTTAAACAAGACTCATAATACATTTTAATCAGAAGACGTATTCTATTTCTCCAAATACGAATTATTCACTTCTACAATTTCCAAAAAAAAAAAACGTATTTTTTCAATAATGTATGTTGCAATTGGTGTAGGAACTGTGTGCTCGTTCAAATGATTATTTATCTTTTAATCAATTTGCTATTTGTAATCGAACTTCAAAAGCATTTATCGATATAGAAACACAGGGATTGATGTTTACTTCTACGACGAGAGTATTTTTTTTTTTTGGAATTTAATAATATTTTACTGTTTTCATAATAGGAATAACGACTAACTTGTGTTTGTTTGTCCATTAGGTATATTATTGAAGAAACACATATTTTTAGTGTAATCGATGAATTACGGCAATACATTGAGTTGATATGTCGCATGAAGTCACGCTTTTGTACATTTTCTACTAAACTGTGACATAGTGAGCCAACAACTTTAATGACTATTATATGGTTAAATTGAAGTAAAAAAAATATATGTATCTAATTTTCTGACTGACAGACAAATATAATTTATTTTGTGACCATCTTTTGAGTCATCATCTCTATTCACCGAATAAGTGAGATCGAACAATATCGTTTGGTTTATTATTCCAGTGGGCGCGATATCGTCGCACGCGCTGTGCAACGGCACCAGCAACGGCCACGCAAGCCCCCCGCCCCCGCCGCCGCCGCCCCTCAGCAACGGGCGCGCGCCCTCCCCGCCCCGCGCCCCCGCGCCCGCGCCCGCGCCGCCCCCGCCCCCCGCGCCGCCCGCGCCCGCGCTCGCGCCCCCACCGCCGCCGCCCCCGCCTCTACTCACAGGTCAGTGTCGTCGTCACCACATTAGTTTAAGTAATAATAATAAATTGAATTTATTTTGACGATCTCCAACTCATCGTGTGCAAGGTTTCGTCGTTGCTTAAGTCCCGAGTTTGATTTCCGCTTGGATCAATGTAGAAAATCTTTGTGTTTCAGGTACTCCATAATATATTAACATTATAATTTTATTCTATTTTACGGGTTAAATAAATATTGCTTTTTAATTTTTTATTGCTTATTTTGAGGTTTTGACAAAGTATTGCAAATCTTTTATATGATCATATTAAACTACTAACAGATTTATTAAACGCATGTAATATAATGTATTATAAAATAAAGGAAAAACATACTTGTTATCCATTCATATGAATTGTCCTGCGAAAACACTTGCGCGACATTTTAAGCCTTGATGTTAAATTTCTATAAACATGAGTATTGGTTGCGCTTGCAACGAAGACGTTAGCGTTTAGTTTATTGAAATGTACTTACAGTTTTTTTTTTTAATATTACATAGTTATAGGTTACATATAAATTACCAATTTATAACATATTTCATAATTTATTGGTATAATGTCAAACATTGGCATAGCTAGTAATCTGTAGTATTAGTACCTTTTTAACACCACCCACCGATTTGATTCGATAGTTTTTCATGTCATTAGTTATAACAGTTGAATCTCGTAAAAGTATAATATAGTCTTAATGAAAAATGCTTAAAAAATCCACTTTGCCCCGAGGTAATTTGAGATGGAACTCGAAACCATGACCTTTCGCACAACTGCTTTTACCACTGAGATAAGAGGACTGACGAATCCTTCAAGCACTTCTTTTCGCTACTACGGAGCGTACCATCTTCTTTAATGTTCAGGCAATCCATCTAGACAGCCGAAATAATATTTATATTAATATTTAAAACTTTCGATTAAGATAAAAATTAGTTATAATCATTATATTCAATCAATTTTGCATTCACAATTTTAAATTGAAGAAAATATTCCCAATAAAAAATGCTAAAAAAAATAAAAAGAAATAATATAATCGTTAGGAGGGCTGGCGCCCCCGCCCCCCGCGCCGCCCGCCCCCGGGCAGATGCCGCCGCCCACGCAGCACGACGCGATGACCATCAAACGGAAGGTCGACACCAAGTACAAGCTGCCCACGCTCAACTGGATCGCTCTAAAACCAAACCAGGTGCGAACATATGTGAACATTCTCGCATATCATTAAGGTCCACTTTTGCTTCCGCTAGACGGCGTTGTAATAGGGAGGACGACAAATTTTTGTTTGTTTGTCCGTCGGGTAGATTATTAATGAATGTTTTTCACGTATTTTTTATTTTTCACTTAATAAATTTCGGCGATACATTGAGTTGAAATTTCGCATGTGACGTCATGCGACATTTTTCAACCTTTGTAAGTTTTTCTACATAGGTATGACGTAACGAGCCCCATCTTTAATTCCGGTTATTTAAGCTATTTCGTGTTAAATTGAAGCAAAAAAGAAATACGTATCTAATATTTTTCTATTATCTGATTGACGGACTAAATACAATTTCTGTTTTTGTTACCCAGTCGTCATCCCTATTGTAGATCAAACGTCAAACTGTTTGGGTGCCATTTAGAAAGAACTCAAAATGAAATTAGTGGAATTGTAGGTAAGACAAAGTAACTATTGAGTGAGAGAGAAAAGAAAATGAAAGAGTTATCCAATCAAAGTATACCGCGTAATTTGAATACAAAAAAGATTAAGGGATGTTCAAATATTGTTTTTTTTTTATTGAATACAAAAATAGGGAATTGACGTCTCCCAAAGTTGGTAAATAAGATTGGTATAGTGGGTATTATAAAAGTGAGTTCATGCCGTAATATTCTCAAAAGAGGCAGATTTGTGTCACCAGCTTCTGGCCTATAAAAACTCTCATACTGACCTGCCAGCGCAACTGTGACAAAAAAATGTCAACCAACTATACACTGCTGGCAAACCAATAGGTTTGAATTGCCACTTGAGTGTTACGTAACCTTTATGGAGGGGGAGGAGTGGTCAGAATATCGTTACGGCGCCTTACATGGGGAGCGGGTCAAAAATCTTAAATAAATTGCATTATTTAATACATGAACAGCGTGTTCTTCTTTTCCACTTATCAAGGACGATTAAAGTCAAAATAAAGTTAAATTAAGTATACTGTTTATTCAGAAATTGTTGTTGATAGTTTTTGAAAATTATTTATTAAAAGAAAATTGATTCTAATATATTTATAGAAATTCTCAATATACAATATGCTGTACTTGGTTTATTTATTAATTAATTTAATGCACAAAACAGTTGACAACCAAGAATTACAACAAGGAACTGAACATTTGTAGTATTTACACAAAAAAATATATAAAAAGTAGCAAATAAATTGTATCTCTTATTTGACATACATTACAATTATGAATGGAAATATTATAAGAATACAATAGGCAAGTAGACAACTTCTTTTTGAATTTTACAAATAAAGAGTTCATTAATGTCTGAGAAATAATTTAGAAGTAGTATTAATAGATTCGGAGATACGGTGCTATTTTTATACGATGTCGGCCCAAAAAGGCTACTTACAAATTCAAGGCACTAAGTGACGTCACACAGTGCTACAGTAGCGAAAAACGTATGGGCGTTCGGGCAATCTTAGTTATTTGTGCGTTTATGTTTATAGCTGTTATAATGAAAGTTGTAACATTTTATCTATCTAATTAAATGCCTTATGTATTTTAGCAAAATTTTGTAGTATTTTTTTCAAATTCTTAAACCGTTTTTTTTCCAAATTAAAGACCTTTGTTAAATAATTAAAAGTTATAATGTAGAATACAAAAAAAAGGCAAAAAAGGAAAAAAATTAGGCAGGATCGGCTAGTAAATAAATGAATTTATTCATTAGGTCCGCGGCACGATATTCAACGAGTTGGACGAGGAGCGGCCCCGTCGCCGGATCAACTTCAGCGAGTTCGAGGAGAGGTTCCGTATAGGCGGCGTGTGCGCGCCCGCGGACACGAGGGACACGGACACGCTCGCCTCCTTCCCCAGCAAGAGGTTCCGCAGGCCGGACACCGTCAGTCTGCTGGAACACACGCGCCTACGGAACATCGGTATGTACCTGCCCTAACACCACCACTCGTTTGTGTAACCTGATCTGTTTTATTTTATAATAAGATTTTATTGTACACATCATAGTAAATGAATAAAACACAATAAAGTAACAGACACAATAAAGTACAGGATACAATGGGGAAGTATTATAAGGAAATAAAAAGCACTATAAATAAAGTACCTCACTAAATGGTGTCAATAACCAAATTTGATTTTTGCAAGAAATGAATGAACGAAAGATAGCTATTTCCATTCTTTTTAACTAACGTATTAAAAAACTAAATCTGCAAAGTTCGAACCTCAGATATCAATCCAAATACGAAAAAGTACAAATAGAATATGAGTTGTTTATTGAGTTTTGAAAATTAATTTACTTTTTTACATGAAAGAAAACCGGAATGGTTGTTATGGAGAAATCAAGAAAGTACCGTAGCGACATCTAGTTTGATTTCGGGAACTAATGATTCCATACCGATCGTTTTCTTTTTATACTTCTCCTTCTATCATATAATGTTTTGATAACATCTACTGAGCACTTTAATAGTATGAATTCACGTTGAATTGAATGTTTGTCAATTTTTTTTGGTAAAAGGCTTTCAGTAAATTGCTTGCCCAATTTTTTTATGGGACTAAATATATCAGAATCAATTTCCCCATTTTATACTGTAAGTAATAATAATCCAATGTAATAAAGATGACGACTGGGTAAAAAAAAAAGAAATTCTATTTAGTCCGTCAGTCAGATTATAGATCGCAAATAAACTTTAAATTGGGTACCCCTATTATTGTTATTATTATTATTTTTTAGTATTAGTATTGGGTCTTATTTGCCTTTAATAAAACAATTATTATTATTATTATAGAACAAAATTGGATACGTATTTTTTGTTTGAGTGGGGGCTCGCTACGTCACAGTTTTGTAGAAAATGTACAAAAGCGTGACGTTCTGTAGAAAATGTATAACTAGTATCGCCGTAATTTATTGATTACGCAAAAAATTTTAAAAAATACGTATTTAATATTCTTCATGAATCTACCTGACGGATAAACTAATAAAAATGAGTTTTCATCTCTATTATGTTACCATTTAACCATAAAGATTTATTACGCAGCGATATCAAGAAGAAAACTGGATACGCCCGTGGAAAAAGTGATTGCAGCCATCAACAACCTAGACCTCAAACAGTTGCCGTTAGAGAGTGTTGAAATACTGCAGCGGATGGTTCCTACAGAGACCGAACAGAAAGCTTACAAAGAGTACGTTGCGGAGAAGAAGAACATCAACCAGCTGACTGAAGAAGATAAATTCTTGATGCAACTAGCCAAGGTATCGTCTGATTGTTTCTAAAGTGGCATGGCCACTGTACTGTGACATGAGTAGCTCGGTGGCGTAATGGATAAACGCCGCGGCCCGCGCTCGTTGTCGTTAAGCAACTTTCGCAAGGGTCGGTCACGGGATGGGTGACCAACTAATTATTATCTCGAGCTATTCCGTTCTTCGGAAGGCACGTTGAACTATTGGTCCCGGCTGCATTTGCAGTCGTTAATACCTTCCAATCCGCATTAGGCCAGCGTGGAGGGTCTATCCAAGGAGCATGGTCCATCCTCCTTAATCATCCATCTAAAAGGGCTGAAGATGATGGCCACTAACATTAGGAGGAACCACTTCGTTATCATGGCACTTAAAATATGGATGACAACTGGGTAAAAAAAAAAATCTATTTAGTCCGTCAGTCAGATACTAGATGCATATATTTTTTACTTCAATTTAATATTAAATGGCTTAGATAACAGGCATTAAAGTTAAGAAGTGGGGGCTCGCTACGTCACTGTTTTGTAGAAAACGTACCAAAGCGTGACGTCATGTGACATTTTAACTCTAAAGTAACGCCGTAATTTAATGACTATGAAAAAATTAAAAAAATACATGTTTAGTATTTTTCATCAATCTGTTTGACGGATAAACATACAAAGATTAGTCGTCATCCCTATTATCGGAGATTACTTACTGTTAACTATAGAAGTTGACGGCCAAAGGGTGCGACCGCCTAAACATCTTATCGAATTTATGGCGATATTTCGTTTCATTATAATAGTTTGACATGTATTTTAGTAACGACGAACGAACTATACAGAATGATTATTGTGGATTTGATGGCAGTGTTACCAACTTGGTAATTTATCCCAAATTTATCCACCAATAGATTCAAAGTAGTAAAATGAAACGAAATATCGATATAATATCGCTATGATGTCGTATCCTACTGTGGCTGGAATCAAGGCTAGAGAGTTTGGTGGTCGCTTACTTCAAAATTTATCAAATGAATAACTCGTACGAGTTAATACACTACTATATTTTACTTTTCCTTGAACGAAAATTCGGAATATTAAAAGTCGTTTTTATAATTTTAAAATCATATCCGTAAAGATTATTTGTGCGTCAGAGACGATGTCAGGTCCTACTTTCTTTGCATCATAAACTGAAAAATGCGTTCCTTTAGTCTTATAAGCTTTTCGAAAATAGACAACATTTTCGGGGTAATTAAATTCCTTTAGGTGCCATGTTAATTCGTACGTGTAGTACAATCGGCTGCACGTCAGACTATATATTGTGGTCCTTTTAGTGACCGCATTTCGTATAGAACTTCTCTACTAAAGGAGGTCTGCTTCCGGTGGTGGTGTGTAGCGTGACGTGCGGTCAAGTGTACATAATTCGTTACTATTATATTACAAATGTTGGTTTAATGCTTAGGAAGCTAATGCTAAGCTTAAAGGAATATGAGATACTGATATTAAAACAATGGTTTGAGATTTTTTTTGTAGCTAAAGCTATAAGGGCATGTTTATAAAATTATTGAACTTTTAGGTTCATTTTGCAATTATTTTATTATACCTAGGTTGAGAGGATATCAGCGAAGCTGTCCATAATGAGCTACATGGGAAACTTCTTCGACAACATCCACCTTATTACGCCGCAGATCCACGCTATAATATCTGGCTCATCGTCTGTTAAATCTTCACAGAAACTGAGAAATGTTCTGGAAATAATTCTAGGTATGTATTCAACCTCACTTTATGGTCTATATTCGATTGCTATGCATATAAAAATTAAAATCAATTTGGTACTATTTTTAGTCTGTTGATAATGATAAGGTCGATATATAATTATATTTAAATAAATATTGGTGCCATTTCTGTTGTATCACGTTCTGAAGTAAAAATTTCTAATTAAATTTGGATCTGTGTAACTTTACAGTCACATGTAATCAAATATAATTGTACTCCTTTATATTTCAACATGATAAGTTTACTTTTGTTTATTTCTTATTTATTTTAAAAACTATACATATTTAGTACAGTCAAACGGAATTATCAAAATTATCAATCACGTGACATCACGAGCCATAAAGTCGTAGTTTAATAAACATGATTGTACTTGCAACAAAGACGTTGACGTTTGGTTTTTGAAATGTGACGTCACACGAAGCTCCGACATGGCCACCCGTTTCTGTTTATTACATAATCGGTTTTATTACAATTTATTTTAAAACAAAAAATACTACATAGTTATTGTTTACATATGAACGATGAATTAAATGAAAACGATCCAATTGCGACCACCGTCTTTAAATAATGTATTATTACTACCTAATATCAAATTCAGAGAGTATATATCGATCAACTATAATTTGCAGCGTTCGGCAACTACCTGAACAGTAGTAAGAGAGGGCCGGCGTACGGTTTCAAGCTCCAATCCCTGGATACGTTAATGGACACGAAGTCAACAGACAAACGTATATCGTTACTGCACTACATCGTGGGCACCATCAGGCAGAACTTCCCTGAACTGATGAACTTCGACACTGAGTTGCTATACATCGATAAAGCTGCTCAAGGTATGTGGTATATTAAGTAGTATTTTTATTACTCACATATCACTGTAGTGTCATTATTAAATATGTAACTTATTACAATATGCCGCCATTTTTTGACCAGGAAAATCACGTGCTGCCCGATTAAAAGTATGGCAGATCTACGAGAGCAACGTACTTATCGATTTGCTTGATTTTTATTGTTTAAATAATTATTATTTAAAATTTATTTTATTTGTATAGCTTACACGGTGTCACTAATGTCCGTTACGTTTAATTAACTATCTGGAATATATAACTCTCCTACCAGAAGGTTGCAAATGAAAACAAAAGATTGTCACTGAAATTTCTTATTTTCCACACGTATAATATATATATATATATTGTGATATATATATATATATATATCATGCTATACATCGATAAAGTGCCGTGCCGTGCCGTGTTTTGGAATCTGGATTGTCGTGTTTTGGATTAAAAACTACAAATATATGTATATTAAACTATGTGCGTAATGAAAATAGTTTACGAGTTAGCGCGAGGTGTGATGACGAACGACTGGCGAGCGCTAGCGAGTGTGCTCCGACGCAAGCTAGAAATGTCAAGTCAGCTAAATACGTTTATGCTGTGTCCCCCTACATTTACATACAGAGATAGGAGAAAACCCGGGTTGTTGCCTATCTCTGACAGGGTTGCCATTGCCAAATTTTAAGTTGCCGTGTTTTGGAATCTGGATTGTCGTGTTTTGGATTAAAAACTACAAAATTGCCGTGTATACATTTTTATTTATTATAAATTGAAAATGAAGATAAAATATGTCATAAAAAACTGTATTACTATACTATAACTATAATTAGTCCTCACCGTCATCATACAAATTTCAAAAATTTCGTCCTCATCCTTATTAAATTTATATTTATTTTTGTCCTTTATATTGTCAATCATTTGCTTATTTGATTTGAAATTAACACAATTTCCTTGAGATCGAACAAAATGCTTCCCTAGTAGCGTTCCATTTATTGTGGAAGTAATACTTTTATTAATTGTTTTTGTTTTAACTAAATTGACCTCACTGAATATTCTTTCAGTCTGCATTTGCGTGTAGAAGGGATAGAAGGGAAGGGGTTGCGTTAAAACTTTTGATCAATATCCGTCTTTTCACTTAATGTATATGTACTTTTCAAAATATGAATTATTTTACGAAGGACGAAGCGTGCGCGAAACTATGTCAATTAATAGTCAGGATTACCCCGCTCATAGAGTCATGACTGCGTCAAGTGTAGTTTAATGATGTGCCATAAAAGTACTTATCGACTATCAAGAAACTCATTGAAAAAAAAATTAGTTACCATTGGATTGCCGTGTTTTAGAACACGGCAATGAACATACTGCCGTGTACCGTGTTTTATTGCTGACTATACCCAAATTGCCGTGTAAATGGCATCGCTGATCTCTGCTCACATAGTACTTTAGTCATCCTACAAAATTTATTGGCCTGAGCAGTGATGGGTAAATGCCCAGGTGTTTTGGGCGAATCGGGAAAATTAAACGAAAAATCAATTGATTGACTCAATTTTGTTTTGTTGCTAAATATAAGTAAATATACGTTACGAGTACAAGTTTAAGAAGATTTATAATGATAAAAGTACATAAATCTATACAAATCAAAATATATTTTTTATCCAGTGACTGATTTTTCATCGCCTAACATAAACTATTAAATTTTGATTAATGATCTTTAGTCAGTAGAGTTTTTTGTGGAGATAACATTCACTACGAAAGGTTTTCGGAAATTTAATCTCTAGGGGGGTGAAATAGTGGTTAAAATTTGTATGAAAATATCAGTTTTAAAGTTAGAATTATATAGCTATATTTCCTTCTTTGATCTTCATGGAGCGGAACACAGAACGACTTAAAAACTACTTCTCTGAACTTAATGTCGTATTTAACCATCGTTGCCATGGCAAATGAAAAATACTCATCTCTCGTCCTTGACTGACAGAGGTCGAGCGAGGTTGAATTTTCATGTGTGCATACGTCTACGCGCCGCGCACGCATTCACACCGAGTTTGCAACTTTTGTTTGAAGTTGGACGATGTCTTATGGGTATAATTTACACAATCGCTGAAATAAGTATAAAAAAAAATATGAATTAGTAGCTCTTACATACAGTATCATGTTTCTAATTTCCAAAACGGGCAAACGTTAAGCGTTGAACGGTATGGCGGATGAGACATGGCCAAATCAAGAAATGGCGGCGTATCGTGATATGCCCGAGCAGATCTCGATCAGAACAATTCAACGTTTGATCAAAAGAAAATTACAAATAGACAGTTCTTTTAATTTTTTAAAAATCGAAATAAAAAATGGGCGAAATCACATTTTCCGAGCAATACAATTGTCCTTCATGTGTAATGTCAATTCGTATATATCGTGCGTGTACCGTGTACAGTGTCGCTCGAGAACGTGGTGGCGGACGTGTGCGAGCTGGAGCGCGGCATGGAGGCGGTGCGGCGCGAGTGCGACGCGCGCGACGCCCACCGCGCCTCCCACCCGCACGTGCTGCGGGACTTCCTCAACAACGCGGCCGACAAGCTGCGGCGGCTGCGCACCGAGACCAAGCACGCGCAGGTACATACATATACAGAGCTCTCATCACAACGTGGACGAAGATTTTATTGATTTTAAGGTCGGTTATAATTAGTGATGTTCCGGATATCCGACGAAAAATAAAGATCCGTATCCATTTCTTTTCTCGCGGATCTTTTAACTTATTAATTTCAATTGATAGGATGAGATGCTATATATAGATAATTAGGTAGATTTAACAAACTATTAAGTTCAATACAAGTATTTTTTATTTCTTCAAATCAAATATTTGGCACCTTTATATTGTACACATTTATCGTAGTAAGTTACTATACCAATAGTACATAACTCAAAGGTACTAATCAACTATCTTTATAATGATATCAATATTATAGAAAGTTATAACATCGCTTATATAATTTTAATTAAATGAGAAAACCAAAACTTAAATATTTTTTATAATTGTACTGAGATCAATATAATAGAAAGTTATAAGATCACTTTTATAATTATGAAATGATGAGGAAACCAAAAATAAATTCTAATTGAAAGAATGAATTAATGATTATTCTAATAAAGTAAATTAATACTGCGTATCTAGTAGGTACTACCTACCATATAAAGTGTATCCATTAGATTACACGAGCAAACACAGTGAAACTAGAGGAACTTGAAAAAAATATATTAATTATAAAGATCTGTATCCGCGGATATACATTTCTAACGATCCGGCATATCACTAGTTATAATTCTCTACTTACTGTCAGTACGTTCCGTCCTGACTATTGGCATTGACAGACTATCAGCTTGTGGCACTGACCGGACTGTGTAGGATACTGGTCGGTCCACCGTTTGGTATATATTTATTTTCGTAGTATCAATCCAGCACTTCAAGGTTTGGTAAATGATAAGTGAGACTTATATGAACACCGACAGTCCGTCGAGCACTGCAATCGACCTTATGCACTGAGGGTAGAGTTCAAAAACCATTATGAAAATGTAGCTTACTTTAGTAACTTTTAATTTGCTTTTTTTTATTATAGTTTTTTTTTCATTGTATAGCTTATTAGTCTTTCAACAATTTATAAAATAAATAATGTAACCGCGACATTCTGCATGATGTAATATATTGTTTCTGTGTGCGTGCAGGATTCGTTCGCGTCATGCGTTGAGTATTTCGGCGAAGCGCCGCGCGGCTGCGACGCCAACGCTTTCTTCTCGCTGCTCGTTAGATTCACGAGAGCGTTCAAGGTAACACTCATGTTATATTTGAACTCACTATTAATTATCAATTCGGAAAAATTATTTTAATACTTTGATATGATCATATTAAACCGCTGTCACATTTATTTTTTTCCGAAGTGTTATTAATTAAAGGAGAAACATATTTATATTCATTTATTTAAATTACCCCGTGAAATCATTTCAAAAAACTTGTGTATTTGTTGCATTAAATTACTGACGTTTAGTTTATTGAAATGTGACGTCACACGATGCGTTAAAAAAATACAATTTATTTTAAAACAATAGTTACTGCATAGTTTACATATAAGTTGCGATTCTCTCAACATATTTCAGAATTTATTGTTATAACTGTCAGGTAGCTAAATATAGCAGTACTGAGGAAATTATATTTTAGATTCACTTTTCATTTTATATGTAACTAACTCGGTATAGATTGAAAAAAAATTACTTTTTATAATACTAAATAATAACATATTACTCTATTGAAAAGAAATATAATTCGATGAGAAAATATGTTCAATTATTTATCTTTGAAAAATATTTAGCAAGCCGACGCAGAGAACGAACAAAGGCGAAGGCTAGAACAAGCCGCACAACAAGCCGACACTGTAGATCCTAATAAAGCCAAGTTGGTGCAGAAAAAACAACAGGTATGTTGTTCACTATAACCATAAACTATTTCATGTGTACATAAGGCTCATAGGCTCATTGGTTCGTGTATTTTCAAAGGAATGTGGGTAGTCAGATATTTAATTTTCATTTATACATATGCAAGTAAAAAGGTGACAAAATTGTATACCAATTAAAATAATACGTATACTTGATGATTATAAGAAAATTTATCTCAACTACCCACATTTTGAGTGGTTTTATTTTGGTGTATTGGTTTTCATTGAAACGAATAATTTTGTAAATACACATTTTCTTGTTGTTATTGAAAATTAAAAAGAAAATTAGGTTTTTGCTTTAAATCGCTCTGTCTTTAACGCTTCGGTGAATGGAGACTTTTTTTTTTGTAGTATTTCGCTGCATTTTTAATATCTAGTGACGCGGAAGTTTAATTGGAGTATTTACTTACATTTTTTTACTAATATTTTTTATAAGTTATACTGATGGAGTGGATCAGATATTCATTAGGTGGAGGTTAAAATTCTAATAATTAAAAATAAACTACATCAGTATAATAAATATAACATTTTAATTTTATTATTCATTATATTTCACTCTTCTTTTATAGTATTTTTAACATTTAGTTATTACTAATAATTATTGAGTGAAGTATTATGTTTATAAACAATATTTTCATTTATTTCTTTAGTTTATCACCAGTGAATAAATCGATAAACTGACATAACATGGTGGCGGTAATTTCACTGCACTATGAATATGGCAACATTGCTTTATTATTTTAACTGCAAAACTTTTATTTCAACCAAATCTGTATTGATATTTATCTCTCAGAAAAAAATATTTTATAGAAGTTCCAATATAGTATTAATTTGATTTGCCAAGCTTATAAAGAAGGATAGTAGAAAAAAACAATGTTGCCATAGTCAATAAACCAAAAAGTACAGTAGCGGTGATGGTAAACCATAAACATTTCCTCACAGAGGTTTAACTACGCGGCTGTCAGCGCCGGCCTATTGCAGCAACAGTTATCCCAGTTGAGGCACGGTATAGAGCCGACGTAACGTAGGCTCCGTCCATACCGTTTATATATTAGTAGTAAGTCGTTGACCAGTTACAAAGGGGGCCTTCACCTGCGTGTTTTAAATGTACTAACATGATGTGTGTGGAGTGAGGATAGAGGTTATAAACGTTGTTTAGTTGGTATATTCTTTTTTTTTTGTAAACAGATATATATATACAGATTCGTTTTTATTTAGAGTAGCTATAGCCATTACTGAATTAAGTAAATAGATAAGAAAGGATTGATATAGAAAAAGATTTCTTAAATTTCATTTATTTTAAAAGTTTTGTAGAAAAGATTTTATCAATGAGTGATTGCTTATTGATGTAGTAGAATAATACGTTTATTTACAAGCTAAACGGAAATTAACTTTATGTAAAAAAGAGTGTTAAAAGCGTAACAGAAAATATTGCCAGTTTTTAATTTTATAAGTTGGCAACAATTAAACATTAAAAAAAAACTAAATAACGTTTATAAATTAAGAAGAACTGCTGTAAATCATCTATCAGCAATTAATGTATAAATGAAAAGTGGTGAATTTAGTGTCTTTATAATAGTGACTAATTAAAATCTTTGAAAAATGAGAGTGGAAGCATGTTAGAGGGCAGTTGGTGATTGTGGTTTATTTTCATATGGGATTGACGTGGAGAAATTCATGAGTCACAGAACAGGAATTTTTATGAAATCAATAATAAAACAATGTTATATATAATTTACGAGTTTTCCTTAAAATATTCTATTTCATTTGGTACGTGTAATTATAAACACATTAAGGATAATTACCAGATATTGCTGCCTGTGTACTCATGGACGTTTATGGAAGCTATCCCATATAACCAACACGCGATTTAAGCATGTGTACACCGATTCACGAAATATTCACCGACTATAGAACAATTTATCAGACCTCCGCTTTCTTATCTTAATTAAAAGCATGAGGTTATACAATCCAAGTAGATGCTAGACCCTGAATCGTAAAATATATCAACAAATCGTTTGAAGGATCTCCAATATATGTAGTCCCTATATTTGAGATAGCAGCTATATTTTGTGGATTTCCGAGAGTAAGTAATAAGTTTTGAGCGATAAAATGGCCTATATTTAATTCACTAGACTAACGGCCGGTTTGGGAATTCAGAATAGTACAATGACTCAAACGATTATTCTGAATAACTTCAGTTTTTCAGTTCGTTTTTTTTTTTTTTTAATTCAACATGAATATGTTTAAGATGACTTAAGCCCAGTTAAAGACGTGCTCATCTTCAAATTTTAAATTCTGAAACTGGGTGTATAATGACTTCTCTTTTAGATGACACCTTTGAAGGCCAGTTATTCTATTTAAAACTTCTATTATTTAGGTTATGTTTGCGTTTACACCATTCCGCTAAAGTAACATCGGTGGCCTAACACATAAAGAGACATTTAGGTTCAGACAAAAATAACATTATATGTCGCAGATTTATGATCGCATAATGCAAGGTTTTGCGCAGTGTACACATATTGCGGGTATGGATGTGGATTAAAAACACCCATTTGCTTATTAAGGCTTTTTAATAATAAAAAAAACAGGAGATATTATCGTAACTGTTGTTAAGCGTCTTTCAGGGAAGACGTGATCAGAATTTTAGTCAATTATTCATATGCCAATAAATGTACAATAAACTGGTTCAAATAAGTACCTGTTAAGTTTTGTAAGAAATATTGCTGACATATCAACAATTTTCAGACTTACCCGGTCTCCATCATCAAAAAAAAAACAATGCAAAATCACCCTTAGGTACTTACGTAATATTCTCTTTAAATATTATGTAATTATATAACGTTTAACATATTGTTGATACTTGTACTTGTTTATTTTCCTATAATAATAGAGAGTTTTAACTACCAATAAAACTTACCTATTATTTTTCCTAAAGATATCCGGAATCCATCTTGAGTCAAGCATCATCCTTTTTGTGACGTTTCCGGTCAAAACACTACCTCCCCTCTTACTTCCGGCGCCTGTGCTGCCATCTAATTTGCGGGTAGCGAACCAATGACTTTTAGGCACGAACGCTTACCGTCATTATACCTACTCTAGATGCACCAGGTAGAACTTACCTGGATTCCGGATATCTTTAGGAAAAATAATAGGTAAGTTTTATTGGTAGTTAAAACTCTCTATTATTTGTTCCGTTCGATATCCGGAATCCATCTTGAGTGATGTGTTTGTTATCTCCTGGTGAGTGCCATTGGTGACGCTATAATGTGTTGCAGGTATAAAAAGTCAAATGTAGTCTGATGAGAAAAAATAATGCATATTATAAGTATATTATGCTTTTACCTACATAGTACATATATTATGCTGTTACATAACAATGCAATTATAATAATTATTCAAGTATTTCGGTAATCTAAGCTAAATAAATATTGGGTTATCTGTTATCGGTCAATATCATTAATGAATTGAATGGAATAATAAAAATGTAAATACATAGATATCGGAATTTTCTTGATTGTCCGATTTATCAGTTTTCGATAGGACTTCCTAAAAGTATGTTCTTGGCGCCAGTTTACAGTTTCAGTAATTTATCCATCGGAAACAGTTCCAGTCAATTTAGAGATGGAACTGCAGATGTAATAGACCCTGAAGAATCTTCTACATTATGTGCTTCTATTTAGCATTTTTGAGAACAGAGTAGTTAACTCGTGAAAATTACTTCTTTTTGGGGCTCTTTCAATACAAAAATTGATCGCGTGTCCAATACATGCAATCGAATGATTTGTGTCAGTTTATCATTTCTATCCTGGCTGTCATAATTACTATTATCTGTTTTTAATACAAAATGGGGCCATAAGACAAAAAATCATTTTCGTGTCTATACTTCAAAGGTTAAAAGGGTTAAATAATAGATTCTGCGACCTTGAAGATTGTGAAATTATGCTAAATTTCTAGCAACTTAAATAGAGTCAATTCTGCCAATTTCTACGTAAAATTTCCAATGTACTATATACCTGAAGTCTAATATTATTTGTGCAATGTCTTCTTAACAATACAATATTGACAGATATATTTATTATTTTATGATTTAGTAACAAGAAATGTGTCATAAAGGGTTGTAGTCGAAGCGCTATTGACCCTCCACCATTACGCCGACATTAGCAGAATTTCCCTACCGGGCACTTGTTATTTGCAGAATTATTACTAGTAGATATTTATAGTCGCTTTACATTAACTCGATAGTTTCAAGATTTTCTTTATTTTATTTTATTCTGCCCGACTTTTAAATAAATTTTCTGAATTTCGGGGGATGAACACCTGTTGCCATACCTATTGCAGTATTTGCGGAATCAAATCGTCAGCCTAGACACTTTGTCCCATTTTGGAACAATCAAAATGTACTTACTTGCCTTGACGCTTACTGGAGTCGAGAAAGTATTTGCGGAATCAAGTTTGAACAAGGCCAGCTTGCATTTGCACTGATGACGTCATGCGTTATGACCTATTAGCTTGCTCGTCCGTCACATCCATTGTCATGAACCTGGGAATGACGTGTGCTTTTGTCGATGGAATAAGTTCACATCTGGTGTACATTAGGCTGCTAGATTTAGTATTCAGGCTATGCATAATTTCTGAATCTGCCTTGTTCGTGTCATAATTACAATAATTTCCTAGATTTGGTCCCCCATCTTTGTTTATGTACGGGAATCAGTACAGTTCTCTTAGCATTTACATCTAGGTATTCCGCGAAATGAAGACTCGCGTGAGTAATTGCCTCGAGTTGAGCACTCGAACAGATTTCCTATGCACCTGTCCTCGGATGTTGAGCGATTTGCGTTGCATTTATTGGAAAGTACAACAGATACTTACCATTTTAAGTCATTCAGTACTGGGTCTGGTAATCCGAATAGGTAGTAATAGTTTTAAGCTGTGTTAGTATTGCAGTGTGCGACAGTGTTATCACCCTGTTCGAATCACAAACGAGGCAAAGTCGAGTCTCCCCATTAGGAACTGGGCCTGTCTGAGGGACCAACCGCCTTGTACAATCTGATGCTGAAGTGCCATGCGTAGCGTGAAGCGTTCGGTTCAAACAGGGACTTCACTAAATTTTCAGTACTGAGTCTGGTAGTTTGATTCGGTGGTAATGGTGATCTTTGGGCAACTGTCGATGGTAGTATTGCAGTGTGCGACAGTGTAGTCACCCTCTTCGAATCACAAACGAGGCAAAGTCGAGTCTCCCCATTAGGAACTGGGCCTGTCTGAGGGACCAACCGCCTTGTACAATCTGATGCTGAAATGCCATGCGTAGCGTGAAGCGTTCGGTTCAAACAGTGACTTCGCTGAATGTTCTGTACTGAGTCTAGTAGTCTGATTCGGTAGTAATGGTGATCTTTGGGCAACTGTCGATGGTAGTATTGCAGTGTGCGACAGTGTAATCACCCTCTTCGAATCACAAACGAGGCAAAGTCGAATCTCCCCATTAGGAACTGGGCCTGTCTGAGGGACTAACCGCCACGCGTAGTCGCCTCGTGCTGAAGTGCCATGCGTAGCGTAAGGCACTTCGGTTCCGACAGGGACTTACCCCTGACTTCCCCGGCACTTCCCGGCACCTCGTGACCATGTTGGTCACGATGCATCAGGCAACGCCGAGGAAGCTCAGAACCAGCACACACTGCTCGAAGTTGAGAGACCACCCTAAGCGCTGCTATTGTGGTAACGCAGTTGTTGTGTTGGTCTAGGCAGCAAAGTTTTTGAGTACCGATGGCAGTTCAAAGAGACACTTCAGTTGCATTAGGTAGGTTGTTGTATTCCAGTCTCAAGAACCTGTGAACCAGATGTTGTTCGGCAATACTCAAATGAAAATACTTTTGGCTCGGATATATTTTCGTAAACCATTCGTTTTGTATGTGAATGTTTGGAATACCAAAATTATTGATCAGTCGAAAAGGTTTTATTTTGACAAATCAGTGTCGTTTTAAATAAAATTGTCGGGCTTTAACATTAGAAGAGAAAATGATACAAAACAGGGTGGTTTTTGTAATCTCTAGTATATTAATTTGAGCATTGCAAATGATATTTGAAGATGGCTTAAAATCCCACGCATAAAAATATAATTTTTATACCATCACATACCTACATAGTTTAGATACCAAATGATATAGTTAAACACTTGTATTATGGAAATCTAAAACAACGAAGGTAACAACACCCAGACCAGAGACGATATAGAAAAGCTCATTATCTGCATTAACATGACCGAGAGTGGAATGCGGGAGCTCAGAAATGGTGACACCTTGGAACTGGTGAGCCACTCGCCCAAGATCCGACATATGCAATCTGGAACATCCTGATTGTTCCATAAACTTACAGATCGCATTAGATAGCCCCCTTCAATGTGTCATGTCATGCATTGTATTTATTTCTAAAGTTTAATGAACTGGTTTCATTACCATTTAAATATTGGTATGTACTTCTGGTAATCTACCTTGAATCAACTTGCAGTTGCAACCATTTTATGCACCCCCTTGTTTATTGGGTGCAATATACTTTTATCAAAGAAGAACTTGTTCGTTCTTCCTATCAGCCAAAAGACGTCCTGAACGAGTGGTGGGGAAAAATGTTGGACGATTCAAAAGAGAAGTCTATTTTAATAAATATTATTTTGACTTTGACTTTGAACTCTGAATTTGGCAAAAATTTCTGTAAAGACACCTCAGAAAACTTCTCCACGGCTCTGAACACATCAGTGCGTCTGCCACTTAATATTTGGAAAATATAATCCTTGTTGAATGTTGATTAGATTTTATCAAAGTGCATTAAGGTCTTTAGCAATAGATCAATCTGCAATTTATTGTAAACTAGTTCTAAACTAATTGATTCATACTTTAATTCTGTTAAGGTATTTGTTAATGCTGTAGATTGTACCATTTCTATAAAATTTAACTATAATGACTTCTATTTTTGCAAATAAAGATCTTATATTAAATCATCAATTGTTGTAGCAGAAACAAATCGTCTCAACTTATAGTTTAATTTGAGCATGTTTCATCTAATTTGGTTTCACCATAGACTGGGTCTTTAACGTTATCAAGAAAAAAAAAATCCTATTTGAACTTGTGTTGATTGTTTTACTATAGTAGGTACATAAAGAAAATTATCACCAGTCGTAACCGCTGCAAGTAGGAACTGTTCAGGACCGTGGGGTCGTAGGGAACGTGATGGTGGCTGTAGTTGCCATAATTGCGGTCCTGGTATGGATACTATGTGCTATTTTGTTATGGAAAAATGCACAGGTGGATTTAGTTTTCCAGTTTTTATCATGCATTATCAAAAAATGTCACTGGTTGGGGTAACAAATCGAATGCAAATCACTTACAGTTTTTCTCGCCTCTGTACCTTACTTGCTCTCTCCGAGCTGGAATCCGACGACGCTGTTCGATGAGCTCGAAGACAATAAACACGCCTGCTTCAATGCTGTTTTCTTTGTTTATTTCGCTGTCCCGTTGCTCCATCGCGAAGGGAGGTTAATTTTATATTCATTTCATTTTAATTTTAACACTAAACTATATAATAATAAGTATAATTTGTGCACATTTTATGTAGGACCGATGTTTTCGCCACGAAAAACGACGCTATAATGACGGTAAGCGTTCGTGCCTAAAAGTCATTGGTTCGCTACCCGCAAACTAGATGGCAGCACAGGCGCCGGAAGTAAGAGGGGAGGTAGTGTTTTGACCGGAAACGTCACAAAAAGGATGATGCTTGACTCAAGATGGATTCCGGATATCGAACGGAACAAATAATATATATTTTTAGTATATCATGCCTTTTTTATAACTAAGTAAAAATATATACCTGTCTGTACAGTTGATTAAATCTATTCCTTCTCCTATATGCTGCACAATGCATGGAATTTAACAGGGAATGTCTTTTTAATAATTAACCCAGTAATTGTTTTTCTTTCATTTTGCTATCCTATGGCTTTTTTTTTGCTTTTTTATATATTATTAGATTTTATGCATCTAATATTAAATTGCAGCCGATAACTGATTTTGGATATAATATTTTATTAAATTATGGTTAAACTTAGACATGTTATCTGATTTTATTCTAAACGTAAAGTTTTAAGAATATATTATAATATTACAATTGTGTATTATGTTGCGATTAATTATAGCGTTATAATTTTAATGTTGTAACAGGAATAATTTATCAGTTGTTTCTAATAAAAGAAAAATAAACTAGATGCTTTTTAACTTTTCGGTAGTACATCGAAGTGAATAAATCAAAACTCGTTACTATTACCGGCTAATGTGTATTAATAATCTACAGGAGGCTGTAATCAACGAATTAAAAACGAAATCGCAGGCCGTCGGCGAAAAGAAACTCCTTCACCAAGACGAGGTGTACAACGGTGCACTCGAGGACATACTGCACGGGCTCCGTAGCGAGCCGTACCGGCGGGCGGACGCCGTCCGGCGGTCGCACCGGCGCCGTATCAACTCGCACCGGTTATCCAAAGGCTTGGACGAATTAGACGTATGATACGAGCCTGACGGGCACACGGCCGACGTGTACGCCGCCGTCGCTGCTATAAACGCCCGATGCGCCTCCAACGAGCAAAAAAGGAAACGCAAAGACCTAGGTATGGTGCACACGAAACATACAATATCCGTTTACAATATAGAAGACAACGCCGATTTTATGAATGATGCGTACGCGCACCCGAACGTCGCACGCAGATCTAAAGTGTCCCCTTATAAAGTGGCGCCCACCGAGTGCGAAGTGGACGATCGCTGCGAACTAATAAAGTCTACTTACGATGCGATAACGAAATACACACGCGCCATGTTCGATAAGCAAAACGAAACCGTCGTGTGAACGATGTGCCTGTATGTGAGCCTACGTTACATTATTTGTAACCGAAACGCTGGCCGGTTCGAGTTTCACGTATGCCTCTTGCCATAGAAGTTGTGAATGTTTTTAAGACCCATTTTTTACACGGAAATTTTATATTTGATACGCCTACGATTCATTCCATTCCACGTGTGACAGTGTACACAGTATTTTATTATGGACTATATATATTTATAAATATACGATTGATTTTTGAAACGAAATGAAAGCTTAGCTTTTGATAGGAGCCCAATGTGGGGCAATCGAATATTATTTTATTATAGCAGTGCTATGATATGGGCCTTATAGTTAGTCCCGCTAGATTTATATAAGCGCACAATTTTTTACGCAAATTTTTAATCGGTCCGACCTATTTTACAAATATTTAGAATTTCAATAGTAGATTTATCGTAATTTAAAATAATGTATCAGTGCCCTTATAAAATAAAATTTCGTGTATACTATGTATAATTATTATATGAATCAATAAAACTTAAAACAGTAATGATAAGTTTAAATGTATTTGCATTTATAAACCTGCAGTTTTTATACCATTTTGTGATAGTTGTTTATTCTCACCCGGTTTTGTATATCAAAATCAGGCGATAAAAGTGATACAATGAAGCATTTTTTATCTCTAGCATGACATTTTTTATTATATATATTGTTCTGTGTTAGTAATATAAATAGAAATACAAACACAGAATAAACTGATCTGATTTTATGGCCATTCTATTAAATAATTTGTAAATAAATGCCTCTTCAATTTGATTGTAAAAGTTTAAATTTCAGAAAGGCAGTTTTGTTTTTTGTAAATATAGTATTATTATGTTACTCAAGCTACTTGAGAGAAGAGCATGCAATATATTTTTAAATGTAATTTATGTTATTATTTTATATATGTCTGAAATTGGTACTATAACAAAATTAATTTTTTCTCAACACAATTTTAATGTAATTATTTTGTAATAAAATATTTTATAGTTAATTTATATTGATTGTAAGTGCTCAGTTTTAATAACAGTATTGATATACACAAGCTGTATCTGTCAATTTAAATAAATAATTATGTGCTAAAACCAGCTTAAAAAAAAAAACCCTTTTTTTATTTTACCACAAATTGTAAATCCTAATATTAACTAAATTGTCTAATTAAAGGGTGCTTATATATTTTGCTTGTTTATTTATAATAGTTGCTTTGCAAAATAATGACAGTAAATTAATCTCTCTTGGACTTTAATACAGGGTCTAAAAAGATAAGGTTCGACAAGCTATAGAATGAGAAAAATTGCAGATTTTCCTCATTCATTTTTTAACATTGATGACATAGGTTATGTTATTATGTTTAAAAACTATTATTATTATACTCGCATTGTAACTACCGGCACATCTTTTCAGGATAACTCTACAAATCTTTGGTGCAGCACTTAAAGACTTATTTTGTGTAGTTGGATTTCACGTCTGTAGTTGCAAACGAGTTTTTAAGTTTAGTAGAAGTTTATAATGTTTTTTTCTGTATAGAGTTGTTTGTATGTAAAGTATACAAGAGTTTTGATAGTTTTGTTCATATTGCATGTATGCTAGCATTAGTACCAGTATTTAATGATGCAATAAACAAAATACATTTACAATCTGCAAGCATTTTTATTTATAAAATACTGAAGAATAATTATGTCATAAATAATATATCTCAAGTAAGTGTTATCTTAAACATATACTTAATATTATAAAGGTTTGGTATTTTGTTCTGTAATCTATAGTAATTTATTTTCTAAATACCAAATATCAAATCAAATCAAATATTATTTATTTTCCAAACAGCGTACAATTACTTAGCTAGGCAGTGATCACTACACTAGGCTCGCAGACCTGAACAGTAGTGACCGAAGGTGAACACCAGAAGAAAACAAAATAATCATTGCACACTTAACTCAAAGAATTATTAGATCATTAGGAAAATTTATAGATCATAGTTTATTATTAATTCTTAAACAATTTAGCAAGGTAAACAATAAATGCGATCGTTCATTTGGGTGTACAAAGGTGTGTAAGTTGTGTAGTGTGAAGTGTGATGTGAAGAATAAGGGCAGCATGTCAGCCAGTTGATGGAAGGAGGTGTTCAGTCTCTGTATAGTTCAGACTCATCAACCAGTTTTTGGTAACTAATTTAGCTTTACGCAAGCAGAAACTATGTACCGGGCTTTTACGGTTTATCCTATTGTAGATATAAGGGTGGGAAAAAAAAGGGAAACGTTGGGCAAATGCGGTGCGAACACTTGGCAGGGGGACCTTAAATATACGCTTTTTAGCCAACGTATAGTAATCGGGGGAATTAATAACCTTTTTATGTTGGGCGCATACAACTCGCCACACGTATAGTTGTCGGACTCGGAGTATTTTGGCTTCCTTATAAAGTGTGTCCGTAGGGTACCGGTAAGGTTTGTTGAGCATGACTTTTAATACTGCACGTTGGGCTCTTTCCAGTTCGATGAAGCTGGTCTTACTTGAACAGCCCCATACACCTATGCAATAAATCAGAAGAGATTGACATAACGAGATATAAACCAAATGAAGTATATCAAGAGGTGCTGACCTCCTGAGAGATTTTACAATATAAATCATTTTTCTTACTCGTGACGAGACATGGGAGATATGCCGGTTAAAAGAGAGATTTTCGTCGATACGTATGCCTAGATATGAGACCCAGTCGGCTCTTTCCACCGACTCACAGTCACAGACACTCCTGTATGTACTGTGATTACAAGTAGCATTTAGTAAATTGCATTTATGTAAAATTAATGGAGGCAAGCTCTTAGGTGAAGAAGTTCTTGTTTTATGGAATGCTATGAACTTTGTCTTTTTTGTATTAAGAGTCAGAAGGTTACGATCAAGCCACTTGGCGATAGGGATCATGCCGTTTTCTGCGAGCCTCATCACATCATTCCACGAAGAATCTTTAAAGAGAACCACTGTATCGTCCGCATAGCATATTATGTCTGCGCCGGGTACAGGGAGGTGAAGAAGGTCATTAATATAGATTGTGAATAGTGTTGGGCCGAGAATACTACCTTGAGGGACTCCGAAATTTACGTTAAGCGTATTACTATGAACTTTATCAATCCGAACGGACTGATAGCGGCCAGATAAATAACTATTAAACCAATTGAGTGGGATTCCCCTGATGCCAAGGCACTCCAACTTTTTTAAAAGGATTGGGCATGAGACTGTATCAAAAGCTTTAGCTAGATCAATAAAGACTCCGACAGAGCATTTTTTATTATCCAGAGAGGCAGAGATAGTATTTGTTACAAGAGAAGCGGCATCTTCTGTGGAGATTTTACGTCTAAATCCAAATTGTCTATTCGAGATGAAGTCATTGACCTCTAGATAATTCACAAGACGTTTGTTGATGATCTTTTCCAAGATTTTTGAAAAAACACACAGCAGCGAAATTGGCCTATAGTTAGAAGGAGCATCTTTATTACCGTCTTTGTAGATGGGAGTCACTATCGCATGTTTCCAGCGCTCGGGGAATTCACCCGTGCTTATACTCAGGTTAAATATATGGACTAAAGGTTCGACAATGATAATACGAATTTTTTTTATTAGTATTGGAGTAAAGCCGTCGAGACCGGCGGCACTCTCGTCCTTTAAGCCCATTATTATGGAGTCTACTTCACGAATGTCAGTGGGAGTCATATAAAAAGACGTTGACGGGGAAATTGAAACATTCACTTTTGAGGCGAGCTCTGTTTCTGATACGTTAAGTTTAGTGAGGGTTTTATCTGCCAGAGTTTTGCCAATACCAGCGAAAAATTCATTTGTCACGTTAAGTGATTTCACAGAATCAGAGCTGATTTTAGTTAGAGGAGACGCGTCGTTATATTCGGCGGGAATATTACAAACATCACGAACAGTAGACCATAGTTTTTTGGAGTTCTTTTTATGAGTCATAATCTGATCTTCATAATATTTGTTTTTTATTCTGTGTTGGAGTTCAGTTAAAAAGTTTCGGTAGCGTTTATAAACTGTCTGTTTTATCGGATCAGATGGACTTTTTTTAGCCTGCATATGTAACTTGTCGCGCGTTTTTTGATTACTGACCAGATAATTTACATATGGGATGTAAGATTATTTACATGTTAATTTAGTGAGACTGAGTGGCCAAGGTTTCAGTAGAAACCTGTATGGCAAGGTATCAGAATACCCTCCATGGTTTCTGGTTTATTAAGGAGCAAGATATATGGGAATGCAATTCATTTATTAATATGTGTGCTATATTTTATATATTGTGATATTGGATTTATATTATAAATAAACTTTAATTTAAAATCAAAAACTACTAGACCTATTTAAGAAAAAATAAAGCTATATTACAGTTAATAATAATTTTAAAGAAATATTAATAATTTTTATCAATTATAGTGTCTCGATTTCATAGGCAGCTAGTTTATGTAGGCAGTACCTCATGGTCATAATTTCATATTTACATTAAAGTCAATCTCAATGAGTATGGTTATTAAAGATTAATCAATTTTGTGAGGAAGATAACTTTTTTATTGTATCAACAATGACTGGCACTTCTGCCATAGCTCCGACTCCAGTATCTCCACACATTAGAGTTTTACTAATGGGTGGTATATCTATGTGACCCCATTCCTTTAACAATGCAACTTGCTTACTGGTAATAGGATGTTCCCACATTCTTGTGTTCATAGCAGGACAAAATAAAAGTGGTTTTCTGATATCCCATGCCCTAGTCGTGCATGTTACAAGGTTATCGCAGAGTCCCTGAAAATCAAATGCACATTTTTAAATAAACTTTGTAGGAATAAGCATCTTAATTAGATAATGGTAACTGAAAATTCCACACACTTTTGCATACTTAAAGGGCTTTTATTGTTGTTTTGTGTTTGTGATAAATGTATATAACTATAAATTACAAAGGATTCTGAAAAATCAATGAACATTGAGAAGATAAAAGACATATTGACAGTGAAGTGCAATGAAATTTTAACTGACTAGTTTTGACCCAGATTTCTGTTAAAGATAATATAAAAAGTTTGCCAAAAAATGTCAGGAGATATTGACAGTTAGCCGCTGATGTGCGAGACCTATGCCTTGTAGTGCTCAGTACTTTTGCCTAGCCCTCATAGGATCCAGTATGAAAATATGGTTGGAGAGCCGGTTAACCAATTGTCACTGGCTTTTAACAATTATATACAAATATAAATCTGAGATAATTTATGGAATGGTTTGTAATATTCTAAATGACATTTTTTTAAATAAAATTTGCCTAACTTGATTGTTTAAAAAATCATAGCGTTCATTGCGTTCTTAAATAATGAAAGATATGAAATATTAGCACCTGTGCCATTTTGGCTAATGTATTAGCATCCAAGGGAGCTATGACCATCATATCAGCCCATTTCCCAAGATCTATATGTAGCACAGGATCTCCTCTCTGTTGCCAAGCGTCCCATTCTGATTTGTCGTCATACACCAAAACCTCTGGCGGCAGCTCTGACAAGTCAAAAAAATGTTTCGCATGCTCTGTCACAATGACACGAACCTATAATTTTTGAGACCATACAAGTCGACACTCTTGAATTAATTAACAATTTATTCGCAATTGAAATAGTACAGTGCTTACCTCAAAATTATACGAACTCTCGTCACTAGAACTCAGTTCCGTGAGAGATTTTAACAAAACAGGAATTTTTAAAGCAGCGACGCTTCCTGTGGCAGCAATTAACAACTTGTACGCATGTTTTCCCATGCTTTAAAATGAATGGATCTAAAAAGAAAACCAAAACAAACGTTTTCAACAACAAAAACATGTTTTGACTTGACTTTTTGTTTTTCATTCTAGACAAAAGAATCTGATTCATACAGCATCGTCTAAGTAATGAGTATATTTTATTCTGTCAAACCCATGTTTAAGGACAACAAGTTTTTTACAATAAAATAAAAAAAAATACTTTGCACGAGTTTGTATTCTATGAATTCAGTAGAATTATATATTTTTCGAAAGAATTTGAAACAGAAACATTAATATATCGGAAATATTAACATTATTAAAATAGTAGTCATATTTTTTATGAACGCATAGCAAACAATGCTGTATGAATTCAAGAACCCTTTGCGTTTTTAAATTAAAGAAAAAACAATAATTGTCAAACAAATGTCAATCCATTCGCGCGGGAACTTCGAAAAGGAAAAGGCGCCCTTTTTGAAAAAATACTTTTAAACTTCTATTTCAAACACTATTTGTGCTGAATTTTAACTTGTAATAGTTTTTTTTAACATAGAATACTTGAGTGTATATAATTTAATATTGAATTAATAGAAGATGGGAGGCGTAAAGAAGCGTAAAAAGGACCCACCTGATGGACGAGCTGGAATCAGTTCAACAGACTCTTCTTCGGAAGAGGAAGAAAACACCAGGAAGTATCAAATATTTAAAGTTTCTGGGTACTCTAGAAAGTATCCAGAAAATTGCAAAAAAAATGAGTATATAGTTTTTCTGTCTCACAAAGAAGAAAGTAAACAGTTTACTGATAAAGACAGATTAGCTATTTCTAATGCATTACGTAAACACTGTGTCACAGGATTACTCCACTTACGACCCATTAACAAATTTCGTGTAGGAATCACATTTGATCTATCGAATAATGCAAATGTCTTCATTCAAAATAAAAAGCTACTGGATGAACTAGGTTTAAAAGGCACAATTCCAGCGTCGGACTCTGAGGTGACCGGAGTTTTAACTTCAGTCCCAACGAGTCTTTCAAATGAAAGAATTTTTTCGTTAATAGGCAGTTCCAGAAACGTTATACAAGTCAGGCGTTTTATGCGACGAGTACGATGTGAAAATGGTACAATTTCTTATCAGCCCACACAAACAGTAGCAGTCACATTCGCTTCCACGGAACTTCCGCAGTATGTTTACCTCGATTCATGGCGACATGAGGTTAATGTATACATCCCACCAGTGAAACAATGTTTACGTTGCTTACGTTTTGGGCACATTGCAAAATTCTGCAGAAATGCGGAGGTCTGTTCCATCTGTACACAAAATCATAATTATAGACAGTGTAAAGAAAACCCTACAAATGCAGTGTGTGCAAATTGTGCTGGGAATCATATTGCAATTTCCAATACATGTCCTAAAAAGAAAATAAAAATTGAAGAAAACAAAATCAAATCCAAAACTACTAAATATTCGGAACTCTTTAATGAATCGTCTTTCCCACATTTACATACTAAAACACTAGAAACCCAGATCCAAAATTTAACAAAATCAGATACTTTCATGAATGTTCTCACACAAGCAATTACCAAACTCATTTCTAATCAAAAGGACAACCCCATAAATTCAGTTACTATAAAAGAAATCTTACATCAATCATTCAGAAACAATATATCTCCTTCCAAATAATGGATACAGTTAATATCATGCAATGGAACGCCCAAAGCATTATCAGTAATAGGCTTCTTCTAACTCAATTTCTTTATGAAAATAGTATTCATATAGCTATTATATCCGAAACTTGGTTACAACCTAATAAGAACTTTAACATTAAAGGATACAAAATTGAAAGAAATGATACTGGCAACAAACATAATGGTGTAGCTATTCTAATTAAAAATAATATAAATTACAATAAAATCATTACTTATTATGATAGCTGTTTGCAAAACATTTGCATCAGAGTTACTATAAATAACAAAGAATTAAGCATTGTTAGTTTTTACTGTCCTACAAATTGTATTCCAAACTTTGACAAATATAAATTTGACTGTTTAGTAAAATCAATTCCAAAACCAATGATTTTTGCTGGCGACTTTAACGCCCATCATACTTCTTGGGGATGTAACTCTGTCGATGCTAGAGGTAGAGATGTCCTGGAAATCATTGATGATAATAATTTAGTTCTCTTGAATAATGGTGAAGTGACCACAGTTGGTTCAATGACTTGGCGTTCTAATGCTTTGGATTTATCTTTAGTTTCTCCGTCGTTGGCTCTTTCATGTGACTGGTCCGTGCATAATGATCCACTTGGCAGCTATCATTTTCCTATAATAATCAAAGTCCTCTTTAGTAAAAATGGCAACAAAAGTTCTGTTTCAAATAATCGCGGTATACATTTGCCCATCCACCCTAATTTTAAAATGGTCGATTGGAAAATGTATACACAAAATGTTGAGTCCCTTTTAACAACTTTCAAACTAGAAAATTATACACCATTAGAAGCTCATTCTGTATTCTGTAAAATCATGAATTTAGCTATAGAAAGGTCCCTTCCATTTACTAGTCCTGCGTCTATCAATAATAGTAATAATACCCGTACTACGAAAACACCAATTCTGCCTTGGTGGAACAAAAAATGTTTTGAAGCAGTTCAAAGATCGAAAATGGCGTATTTAAATTTTAAAAATAATCCTTCTAATGAAACATATATAGAGTTCAAAAGGCTACAAGCTTTAAAAAAACTTACCTTGAAAACTGAGAGAAATAATAGCTGGATTGAATTGTGTAATTCCTTTAATCGTTGTACTCCTTTGTCTCGAATCTGGAAATTCATGCGTAAATTTAATAAAACATATTTGTATAACAATAGTGATGATGATTGGATCCCAGAATTTTTACAAAAGTATACCCCAGATTATGTACATAACACTTCTAGTTTTCCCATAGTTGATAATATGATTCCTTCAAATAACTATCTGATTAAACCATTTTCATTTCAAGAGTTGTCGTCTGCTATTCGCTCCAGAAGGGATACAGCATTTGGTCTGGATGGCATCCCCTATTTCATGCTCAAAAGACTCAGTGACAATAGTCTTCAAATTTTCTTGTCCATTCTGAATAGTTTGTGGTTAAATAATGATATACCCGATTCATGGAAGTCCGATTGTATAGTACCCATTTTGAAGCCAGATAAGCCCAAATCAAATCCCAACTCATATCGTCCAATCGCACTTACATCTTGTGTTGGAAAAATCTTCGAGCAGTTATTAAAACAAAGACTAGAGTTTTTTGTGGAACAAAATCATATTTTACCTGCAAATCAATTTGGGTTTAGAAGAGGCATGTCTGCCCGTGAAAGCATTAGCCAACTTCATCTTGATATCCAAAATAGCTTAGTTAGTAAAAATTTCTTGTTATCTGTATTTTTTGATGTTTCTGGTGCCTTTAATAATGTAAATATTGATATTCTTTGTTCTGAATTGGCTTGTATAGGAGTTCCAAGTAAAATAATTCAATGGATCCATAAATTTTTGACAGAAAGGGAAGTATATGTTAAACATAATTACAAACTATATGGTCCTAGACAGGCATCTATCGGAGTTTGTCAAGGAGGAATTCTTTCTCCCTTATTGTTTATTTTGTATATTAGACGACTAAACCTGGTACTAGGTTCTCATGTTAAAAATTTACAGTTTGCTGATGATCTCGTAGTGTATGCATCTGGAAAAAATTTAACAGAAATTACTAATATTGTAAATAAGTCTTTAGAAGGTTTATATAATTATTTTTCATATTTAAATTTAGATATCAATGCCCTCAAATCAAAATATGTTGTATTTGGAAAAATTCATAACTCAGCCTCTAATGTATATTACAACAAAATCCCTATTCCTGTTTCTTGTGAGGCAAAGTTTTTAGGAGTAGTATTTACTCACAATGTATCATGGAGTAAATATGTTGAAATTATAAGTTCAAGGGCCAACAAAGCATTCAACATTTTAAAATCATTATGCAGAACATCCTGGGGAGCTGATCCCAAAATATTATTGATACTTTATAAATCTCTTATTCGCAGTCATTTTGAATATGGGTTTCTATGTTTTTCTGGTGATAATAGACTGGTTGACAAACTAGAAAAAATTCAAAATAAAAGTATGCGACTTATAACTGGAGCATATAAAAGTACACCTATAAATTCATTACAAGTTGAGTGTGGATTACCTCCTTTAAGTATAAGACTTTCATACTTAAAAGAACGATTTATTTTAAAACTATACACAAAGAAAAATAATCACCTCTTTTTAAACTTGCTAAATTCATGCACTTCAAACTGTAATCTTTACATTCTCCATAGTTTCTCCCAATTTATAAATTATCTTGATGGTCTCCAAATCCATAAATCAGAACTGCTACCTTGCTATCAAGGAGACTTTGACAGTAAGTTTCCTGCAATAAATATTATCATTGATCATAAATTATCTTCTAAGCAAGATGTTAGTTATAAACTTTCTGAGTTTTCTGGTCATAGGTTTTTATACACAGATGGTTCAAAAACTGAGTGTGCTGTCTCATTTGCAATTTTTGATGGGCAATTGAATTTAGGTACAGGTTTCAAAATAAATCCTAATACAAGCATATTTACAGCAGAGGCCCTGGCTATCCTTGCAGGTTTAAAACACATTAAATATAAAAATAATGGATGTCGTAAGTGGGTAATAGTTAGTGATAGCATGAGTGTTTTGGAAAATCTGAAAAATAATAAGTTCAATGCCAATACAAACTACCTTATCTTTTCAATCAAACAATTTTGGTTTGACTTGTATTCTGTGGATAACATTCAAGTTTCATTTTTGTGGGTTCCTTCACATACAGGTGTGGTTGGAAATGAAAAAGTTGACTTTTTGGCAAGATTTATAACCAACGCTTCAAATATTATCCCTGATTCCAGCAATAGTCTTAATGTAACTGTACCAAATACTGACATTGTTTCTCTTTTAAAAAACAGATCAACAGATTTGTGGAAAAAGCATTGGAATTTTAAAGTACAAATAGAAAACAAAGGTTTATGGTATGCTTCTTTTAATGTGCCTGTAAATTCGACACCTTGGTTCTGCAAAAGTAAGACTTACTTTAATAGGAAATTTTACACAACTATTTTGAGGCTTCGTTTCGGTCACTGTCGTCTAAACTACCACCTCTATCGACTAAATATAGCACGTAGTTCCTCTTGCGACTGTTGCGATACTCAAGCAGAACAGTCTTTGCAGCATATATTCTTTGAGTGCCCATCCTTTGGCATCCAGCGCCTTGTGCTGATGGATGAGCTGATTGAGATATATAATAGTCCGGAACTGGTACCGCGCTCCATTTCGAATCTGCTTGTAAATACATCCACTTATAAACCTTTGTTCAAATTTATTGAAAGCACAATTGGGCAAATTTAGGTGTACACGTTAAATGATCCAATAAGGTTTGATTGTTGTTATTGTCTTTGTTTTTATTTTGATTTTTTTGTTTTTTAAGAGAAACTGTTAATTTTCAAAGAATAGGACTGGTATAGTTCACTTTACTTTTTGGTTTTTAGTTATTATTCTAAGTTATGCTCTGATTGTTGGTACTATTTAACATTTTTTTCTAATTTTATTTTCTTCTAACAATTTTAGAATTTATTTTTATATTTGACTGGTGTCTTTCAATGAATATGTTCAGTTAGTTTAGAATAGTTTAGATGGTCTCCAAAGAGTACTTTGTATATGATGCTCTCTTTGATTTTATCTTGTATATTTGAATAGATTTGAATATTTTATTTTATCTTTTTGACGTTCGACTTCACATAGGAATATTTTACTTATGTAAATACTTATTTTTAGTACTGCACAAAGTTATTATAGGTATACTAAAGACTTGTTATCTTATTATAAATACAAAGAAATACAATTAAACTAATGACAAGGCAGCATGGTCTATGATCTTAGCCTGTTCCGAAGGGAACGAATTAAAAAAAAAAAAAAAAAAAAAACAAATGTCAATCTCATGTGTCAATCAGCAGCAGAATTTAGGTAATGAAAAATAAATTCAGTTGATTTTATCACACGTAGAGAGGTAGTTGTGTTTATTTAAAGCCTAACTATTTACGATAACAATGCGGAATCTTAATAGAATGTCGATATTTAAATTAAATCTAAACTTTAGCTAGTATTTAGTGATAATTGACGTTTTGACGAAAAACACAATTGTTTATTGAGTGTTGTGTTTAGAGAAACTTGTGTTGTTTATCAGTATCATAAAACTTTAACGATGGATTTGAATGCTAAATATTACGAAGGTTGTGGCCAAGAAGGGCCTATTCGTTGTATATTCTTGTGTGAATTCCATCCTACAGCTGGACCTAAAATCACTTGTCAAGTGCCAGATAACTACATATCCAAAGATATTTTCGACACAGTTAGCCACTATATAATACCAAAAGTTCAATTACAGAGATGCACTTTGACAGTGTAAGTACATAATTTTTAAATCTTTGTTTATTACGGCATGCCAACTTATTTACCTTATATAGTTATTTATTTACAAACTTCATGTGGTAAAATAATTTTAGGATAATATGAACTCCTTTTATTTGATAAATAGAATAGTAGAACACAGTGTTAAACTTTATGTTCACAATGCTATACTAAAAAATATTCTCATAAAAAATGTTAAAATAGTCCACTTTGTCCCTGGCACTTTGAGATGGGACCATCTCTGAGAGTCAGGGAAAAAGTGGATTCTTAAGAATTTTTATTAATTATAAAAAAATTTTTATAAATATACTAAGCCAAGTTCTGTTGACATTTTTATTTATTTACAATGAAATTGAAGTTCTGGACATTTACACAAGTACTCTTAAAATTTTACCTACTATATAATAAATGTAATCAAAAAATCATAATGATTAATATCTGTATTTTATTAAAATATTCCTGAGCAATCTTTATGTGTTCTTCTGTATTTTCGAAACTACACTTTATCTATCTTATCAGCTGTTTTATATTAATTATCTGATAAATAGCTATGCTTTTAAAATTATAATATTGTTAAGTTAGGTAGTGTTATGTGCATGAAGTTAAATAGAATAAGTGAATGATTTCTCTTTGAAATAAGAGAATTACATGAGATTACTCATAAAAAATCATACATTAGTGTAATATTTCAGTTATGAAAGCTACTAAAAGATAGGCCACAATAAATAAACTCAACAACTTTATACCTATACCTACTTTAAATGTTTTTATAACAGTAACTGACATTATAAAAATTAATAATTATATAAATTTAAATAAATTTTGTAATCATAATTTATACCATTTAATATTTATTACTTTGTTAGCTTTTTAGTACTTACTGTAAGCAAACAAGTGTATTTGAATAAATAAGTAAAATAAACTTTAATTTATTATGTACCTTATTACATTGGATGTTGTATGCAATGTTCATTTATACATTGTTGCATAGCTCTGTCCCTTTCTTTTATACAGAAGCGTCATTTATAATAAGAATATTGGAAGGAAATCTGACTTATATTTGCCTCATTTACATTGGTTGATAGCACTGCATTGTGGGCGACCTCGGTGACCACCAATGAAAATTTACCATAAAAGTCATCCAAACAAACCAAATAATGTTAAACTGTTGTTATTAACTAGTTACATATTCAAATAAATGAAATATTAGACAACACAGCACCAAATAAAGCACTTGTATTATGGAAGTCTGAATACCAACAAATGTACCATATCACCTAGACCCGAGACAATACAGAAAGGTCATTTTTATATCGACTTGACCGGTAATAGATAGAACCTGGGACCACGAAGACAACAACACCCTAAAACCGGCGTACAAGTTTATCGGCTACTATTGAAGTCGGAGAATTGTGTCGACGCCTGTTTCGTTACACTTTTCTAATTATTTAGATTTAAAAAAATATGTTGGTCTTCAAGTTTTTTATCTAAATGATTCCGCTTTGTGCGAGTATTTTCGAAAAATTTCATTAATAATCCTTATTAACCGGTATTTTCGAAACGTTGTCATTACCTTTGATTACAAAATCAATCTAGCTTTACAAATGGACTGCATCGACTAATTAAAATGACTCCCTAAATACGGATATATCAGTCGATACATAAATCTTGATCAATTAATAAAAAATTGCTTTAACGTCTTCAACGTTTGCATTAAACCAGTACAAAACCATATTTTGTTTTATTTAAATGCAATCGTTTAGTCGAATGCTATCCGGCCTTGACTACAGATCACAAGGAATCTGGTCTGAACCCTGCAAAGGGCAAAGTTTCTGTGATGAACACGAATGTTTATTCAGACTAATGGACCGGACAGATGCTTAAACGTCATAAACTTAATGACAAACCACTTACAGTTTCTATAAGGCGAGCGAAATCTTTGCAAATTTTTAAAAGTAACGTAAAGGAATTCGAAAGAATACTTTGCACAATGAAATATCCTGTCACTGCCGACTATAACTATTCCTGGATTTGCATAATATATATGTATATGTAAGTTTATATGTGTAGATGTATGCATGTGTGTATTTATATTGCGTATTACGTATATTGTATTTATGCATGGATACTTATTTTGTTGTCAATTTGGAATTAAGATTATTTGAACATATTTTCTTTATAATGTTATCGATAACATTTATAAATCCCGTCTTCATAAATTCTTATCTCTCTCTCTTTCTCTCTCCATTCCATGATTGACTAGAAGAAAGCGCTTTAAAGCCTGCCAATTGTTACATTATTTTGTAAAACTGTTTTAAATTTCTAAATGTAACTTCTAAATGTTACCTATTAAGTAAGTTTTATTATTCAGCGATTCCGTTTTGAAGTTTAAAAGATTTGAGCGTACGAACAGCGGAAAGAAACTTTCTTTCGTGTATAGATATAGAAGACAATAAAGCCGCTGTACAAACCGAGTGACGCCTATGCTATCCTAGGAAAAACTTTACTGTCAGCATCGCACGACCACGTCAAATAATAAATTTATTAAGTGATCAGAGTTTCTTACTAATCGTAATCATCATGTGCACAGGACTTTATTGGGCTCCAAAATCCTCGGGTTCCCGGTGAGGATAGACAACAAGAAGTACGCGAGGAACGCGTTCTATTTCAACCTGTGTTTCGTGTGTGACGCTTGGGCTAGAACTGTGCACCTGGAGCCGCTTGTAAAGAAATTAACAGAATATCTCGTGAGTGTACCATGTTTTTCTTTCTTTATATATACTAATATTATAAATAGGAATGAATTTATTGTATGCGTCAAATGTATGCGTTCCGAAAATACTAGGAAACTACTGGAACGATTTAAAAACTTCTTCACTTATGGGAAGCTATTTCATACGCGGAGTAATATAGGTTATAATCACGTGGGCGAAGTCGGGAGATAGAGCTAGTGTGTTATAAAATAACTCAGTAGAGGTTACATGGAATTTTACGGAAAGGCCGCTATTTACCCAACTCTTATCCTTCCCACAGACGGCGACCCAATTCCTTTTGAGATCCCCCAAAAGGATGGGTACGGGGTCGGTCATCAAATGTTGTTTGGGCCCGGGTCTTCCTCGCACGATTCCGGATACAGATACCGGATCTGCGTGAGGTACATTGAGGTTATATCAGGGGTGCGACCCTTGATTTTATTCATAGAATACGACATTTCAGCGATGTTATGAACACTGCTATCAAATCCATGATCATTCTTTATCTTTCGTTCGTCGTTACTTTGATCTTGACCCTTTCGTTCCAAGTAGGAATGAAATGAAACGAGTAAATACAAATACTTACTCGATACTTTTCTTTCAATACCAAGTATTTTGGTGACGACGACGGTGCTTGGTCGGTCACTCATTGAGGAAAGTCAAAAAACTCGCGTGCACCAGACTTTACGGTATGGTAAAGTGTCTAAAGTCTGTCTCATGAAAAAGTGCCAAAAGCGCGGCGTACCTGTCGTATGATGAAGCATTGCTAACCCCTACTAATTTTATGTAGTTATTTATGTACAGAGGGCACTGCCAACAAAACTATATGCATCACTTTTTATGCCTAGACTTGCTTCTGTTTCTTCCGTAAACAGTGTATTAACTGAAATCCCTAAAATCCGAGCGCTATTCCTAAAATCCCTAGTTATGTATTGCTTCAAAGTTTTGTTGGCAGTGCCCTCTCTAGATAAATATCCAACAACATAAAATAAATAGGGGTTGGCAATGATTCGTCGTGCGACAGTAACGCCGTGCCTGTGGGACTTTTTCATGATACAGATGCCTGTGAGACTTTTTCATACTTTTTCATGATACAGATTTTAGACACCTTACCACAGAGTTAACCATTTTATGCACGCGAGTTTTTTGTCACACCTCAGCTAGTGACCGACCAAATACCGATACAAATATTTCACAATACTACTTGTTACTCGGTTCTCAAGTATTAATTTCAAAAGTACTTCGTATTGAATGAAAAGTATCGAGTAAGTACATCTATCTATTCGTATCGTTTCATCCCTTAAGCCAGTAGTTGGAGGGGCCTGATTTGAGGCTAAAGGTATTCCTCCTGCGTTAACAAAAGAAAAGTTTACGTAGTATTTGTGAATTGACAAATGGAGTAAAGTTAACAGGGACTTGCTTGCTTATTTACTTCGGACAAGTAGAAAACTTATTTAACGAAAAAATTACGAAACTGTTATACAATACGTAAGTGGAAGGATTTAAATGCCGAACAAAACGGAGAGTCTTGCTCTCCACGATCAGTTTGATGTCAAAATCAGCTAATATATTGACTTACTAACTGTTTTCCCGTGATTTCGCCCGCGTAAATCATGTCCTATATCACCCGCGTATGATGTAGGTACCCACTGGTGAAAGAATTTTTAAAATCGGTCCAGAAAGTTTCGGAGCCTGTTCAATGCAAACAAACATACAATCAAATCTTGCCTCTTTGTAATATTAAGGAATAAATAAATATAAATATTTAACAACATCACATACATTGCTCAGATTCCAAGATGAGTAGCTAAAGCCCCCGTATTATGGAGTATCTGAGACAACGAAGGTACCACAACACCCAGACCCGAGTTAATATAGAAAAGTTCATTTTATACATTGACCCGACCGGGAATCGAACCCGGGACCTCAGAGATGGCGACACCTTGAAACCGGCGTGCGAACCACTCGGCTACGGAGGTATTAGTATAGACAATATTAATTTCTATCAATTAATTTAATCGAGCAGCTGTGGAAGTCCTTAATTAGTACAGTTGTTCTTATAAATCGTAGATAATGTACTTTGAAATTCGTTTATCCTGCTTTAATTTTCACAGATATTTTTATCAAGGAAAAAATTTACACGTTCCAAGAATTACTTCCATTGTGTCTGAAATTCTATTAGCTTAAAGACAAGTGAAAAGCTTTGTAAAACAAAATAGAATTTGTAATTATTTAGAAAAATAAAATCATCTGATGTGAAAAATAAAGCTTATCTAAAAGGCGGTTCATTTATATTTTAAAAATGTCCGGGATTCAATATCCGTTCGGGCTATGTAGGATCTGGAATTTCGTTTTTTTGGCTTTTCCTAATACAATTCTTAGAGCAACTTAATTTGGGATCAAATGTATGGTATGTCGTCTTATATTTATCTATAAATCGCAAAACTATTGCCAACTATTACTCTATACTTATTCCGTTCCCTCACAGCGCATCCTCAGGAGATGTTTGATCGTACAGAGACAACCATCAACACATTGAACTAAGAAAATCTACATCATTCGATTTAACTATCCGATCTCTTTAGCTTGGTTACTTTGCTGCAGCTGTCCATGGAGTTGGAGACCGAGTGGCTGTCCAAACAGTCTACCTCTGGCGAGGCCAAGGCACTGAACGTTTTGATGAGGCAGGTCATGCAAGACATTAACAGCAGACGGATGTGCACACTTACAGGTACTGTATCATTCTGGTTTTTATCGTATCTACTCGCTGGTTTTTATGGTTTTTAAGATCACCTTTCAGACAAAACTCGATCAACTTGCGAAAATCTTTAACCGTGTAGCTTGACCTATACTAGCTTCTACATCTTTCATCTCTCATGTTGTATACCAAATATGTTATTCTATTCTCTCATCAGACATTCTTTCCACATATTTGAATGAACGGAGTGTGCTTCTGTTTGCCTTTACACCAACACTTACTTTCAAATTTCTTTCTCATTTGTTTCATTACTAATGCAGTCCGCGAGCGTTAACCGGCCATTAGATCAATCTGGTAAATAAAATAAAGTTGTGGCTTAATTACAAAAATCAAATTATCTGGATAGTATTGGGAATGGATCCATTTCAATCTGGCATCAATCATTTCATTACACAATCAATCTAATCAAGATCATGGATTGATTTGACTCCAGATTGACCGTCTAATGGCTCCATTACCCTGCAAATTAATACATATAGTACTAATGGCTGTTGAAGCATTATCCTTCTAGTAATGTCATGGTAGTTTATTCGCATGGCCAGTGTAAATTGTCATGCGTTTCGGTAAGGGTGTGAGACGCTTGCTTTAACGCACTTATTTATCTGTGAGAACACTACGCAATTTCTGTCGGGGGTGCAAAGTCGACTTTTCTGCGATCGACAAGAGGCCACGCATTTATAACCAGTTCCGCACCAGCTCTAACGCTCGTAATTATAGTCGGGAAAGTAATTACTTAAGAAAATGTAATAATTTAAGCAATTTTTTTAACCAAGTATAAACTGTCAAAAACTAATAATAATATTATATTTGATTAATTTTACATTCACAATGCCATGGAGTAGCACAATGGTATACCGAAAAATATTCTTAAAGAAAAATGCTTAGCACGTCCACTTTGTCCCTGGCACTGGATTATGAAAGGTCATGGGTTCGAGTCCCATCTCAGAGTGCCAGGGAATAAGTGTTTACTTACATTAAGAATCCTATTAATATTTATAAATGTGAAACTTCCTTTGTTTGGATGTTTGTCCGTCAGTCACGCCTAAACTACTGAACGGATTTTGTTGAAATTTGGTATACAGATAGGGTATTAGCTCATTATTCCACTAAATAGTTCCTTAGGGACCACGTGGGCGAAGCCGCTGGCGGAGAGCTAGTAATAATAATATTGTAACTTAGAGAATTTACTCCATTCAATTTTTTCTTTATTAACTAAAAAAATATTTGCTTAAGTTTTACTCAAGTAATTACTTCTGCTCGACTATAGATATAATGTGTTAATTCTGAATTACGCTTTATTACCGTAACCTTTGGTAAGCTCAAATAGGTTCTAAAATGAAAAAAATAACAGCAAATCACACAACAAAGCTTTTTTCGTTAAAGCCTATTAGCTTTATGAAAACCATCTGAAATTAAGAGAGAACGTTCTCCGAGTAATGAAACCAAATAAGTTATAAGTAAAATAAGTGGAACTTATTTGGTTTCAGAGAGAAATTTGGGACTTTGATTGTTTTGTTTGTTTTATTTGTTTTGTACCGCCATCCTTGCCATAGAGAGGTCAAAGGTAATCTGTTTCTTTTTATTAAAATAATAATAATGTTATATCTCTCTTCGAAAAGATAAAAGACTACAGCCAAAGCATCTCTAGATAACCGACATTAGGTAGGTGCGAACTCTAATAATAATGACAAGTAATGAAGGATGTGATAATGTCTAGACTGTATATTGATAACTGTTGATAGTCCAACATGATATTTTAGGGTTATCGCTTTGGCTTGTTGATTCGTTGTTTTTGAACTGAAACTAATGAAAATCTTCATCTTTTTAAAAACAGTAGTCTTTTAGTTTCAGTATGCACTTTAGATATTGGTATTATATTGTTTTCTGTTATATATAACTATTTGAAAGTAAACTTATTTTGCCGTGTTTATATCCTTAATTCATAATAGGGATGACGACTGGGTAAAAAAATGCAATTCTATTTAGTCCGTCAGTCAGATAATAGAAAAATATTATATACTTATTTTTTTTTATTCAATTTAACGAGAAATAGCTTAGATAACAAGCATTAAAGTTGAGTAGTGGGGGCTCGCTACGTCACAGTTTTGTAGAAAACGTACTCTAACGTGACGTCATGCGAAATTTCAACTCAATGTAACGCCGTCATTTTATGATTACGAAAGAAATAAAAAAATACGTGTTTAATATTTTTTAACACTCTACCTGACGGACAAACAAACAAAAATTTGTCGTCATCCCTATCGGTGATTGATTGATTTGATTAATTTAGTAATTGACATTAAACAACAAGGCAACATAATAAAACATGTATAACCAGCGTTAGCAACCCTACTGTTTTCACACAAGACTTGCTGTTTTCACATCGATGTCCGTTTTGTTTCAATTAGCGTTCAGCGCCACCTATTACACTATGCGAAATTTCAAATAAATTCAGAAAAAAACTGATTACTACTAATTTTAATCCACAGATAGGCACATGAAGAAATCCAAAGTAAAGTAGGTAAAATCATCAGAAAATACGAATCAAAATGGAAAATAGAAAATAATTATTTTTTTTAATTTCGTTTGATTTTTCTTTCATTTTTTATTTTGGGATGCTGATGTTCTGATAACTAATAAAAGTAGGTATGTTATTGTTTTAATTATACGAGAACAGTATGAAATATACTTCTTTTACTTAACCTACTGTTTTTTAATTGGTGAGCTCTCGACTGTCTTTTTGTAGTTACTCGGGGTTGGCAACACTGGTTATGACCGAAACTTTATATAGTATTAGTTTAGTAGTGTGTTTATTAGTAGTGACAACAACCCTTCGCCGTTGTCAGGCTAAAGAGATTATCTCTCAAAGGGTGATTACAGCATTTAACTTTATTCCCTCTCGAGACTATTTCATTATGTTTGAGATTTTGTTATTAAGCATATTATAATGAAATTGAGTTACAAAATGATATTATAAAACACTTCAGAGGTATATAAATGAGATAATCCCCCGAGATTTTAATTAACTCTAGTTCTCATTTCAATTTTAACGATTGCTTGCTGTGAGAAAGTATACAGAATGTGTATCTATGGATAGATTAACATGGATGTTTTAGCCCAATTTATATTCTACGGTGAGTTTTAAGAGTTGTTTTTACGAAGTAACTGTTAAGTATAAGTTGGTTTATAAGTACTTTATCGATTTAATATCTTAGAATGAGGCAAATAAGATTTCCAATAGATAATTGATTTGAATAATATAGATATCTATAATTTTTGTTGCTAAATTTTTTCGTGTCGTACCCAGTTTGTAACAAAGATCTGATCATATGTACAGTCAAGTCGATTAGCTATTTATGTCACCATTGAAAATATATAATGTCGGCAGTGGGTACTACGACGACGCACTTGACAGTGGTGCGGGTGAACAGTGACCCGGCGCCGGTGAAGGACCACCAAGTGCCCGTGTTCCTCTACAGCAGGCACTCGTTCGTGGCCGACCAGTGGGACCTCACCACTAACCAAGTCAGTGCTAAATAAGGTTAACAGTTAAGGCGACTTTTTACGAACTTACAAACCATTCTAAGCCTATGCTAATATTTGGCAAATAAAAAACATTTTATGAAAATTAAACACATGATCGAAGGTTGGCTGAATACAGAAACCTAAATTCAATTAATTGGCTTGTTAGAAAAAAAAATCGCAAAGATTCTAAGTAGGTTTTTGGATCGATTTAACGACTAATATATTTCATTTCAACTATATAAAAAATATATATAATTAAAGGTAATTATATAAAGTGATTAAAAGATTTTATCAGTTATGTGGCATTAAGATGGCATGCCGGCCACACCCAGTGTTGCCATATATACAGATTTCTCCGTATTTATACAGAGTTTCAGTGCATAATACAGATTAGACCTTGATACAGATTTTTATACAGAGTTTTGCCTGAAGAGATGAATTGTCTAAACATCAATTAATATACGCTAATGTAGCAGCGAAAAATACCTTACAAGTGCTTGAAAAATGCGTCAGTCCTATTAGGTCCTGGGTAGCTCAATGGTTAGGGCAGTCGCCCGGATTGCGGAAGGTTGTGGGTTCGATCCCCATCTCAGAGTACCTGGTGTTGGTGGATTTTTTAACCTTTTACCATAAGGATGTATATTGTGTTTTTTGTGAACGATTATCTATCAGCGTCTTAAAACTTTGCCTTTTGTACATTTCGTAACACAGATCTTTCGATTGGAAGTACTGGTTCTGGAAAAACTATCTGTAATTATAAGTGTTGCAAAATCTGAGTTTTAATCTATATTTACGTAAGTACTAAAATAAAACGTTTATTTTTTGGAATAAGTGTATACTTTTATTTAATTTACGGCAATCAAACGTTAGTACTTATCCCTTATTTTTCAAATGAAGCATGATGATTATGAGCATAAAATGTGGTTCGATTTCTTTGACCATATACAATTTTTACAGGTTTTAAAATAGTATACAGAATTTAGCAGTTCATACTACAGATAATAGGTTCAAGGCATCTGGCAACACTGGCCACACCTCACACGGCGACGGATTGTTAGCGTAGCCGGTTTTGTATCAACAAACGCTGGCGACGTTTCCAAAAAAAAAAATTATTCGGGCGCCCGTTGCTATGGTAATCGTCATACTAACCTCGTCTTACTTTGACGATTAGTTATTGCGTCTCACTCCGCTAACCGTCCGCTCCGCTATTAGTCTATTAGGAGTCTTAAGACTCCGCTCAGTCTTAAGACTCCGCTCAGTCTTAAGACTCCGCTCAGTCTTAAGACTCCGCTCATTCTTAAGACTCCGCTCTTGTGTCTAATAGGGTCTTTTTTTGGGTTCGGTGCCTATAAATGCCCAAAGATGCATTGGACAGTCCTTTTACCCGGTCGTTCCAGTACAACGGAAACCTCAGAGACATGACTTCATCTACTCTGCTCTTTACCACTAAATTTTTCATCACTTTAGTCGTGACCAAAGTAGCGTAGGATTCTGTTAGTTTGTTTAGAATCGAGTGATTTATATCGTGGAGTCCTTAATTATTTATTTACGAGACATAACAAATAGGTATGTTATTACGAAATTAAAATATATATATTAAAACCCAACATGTGTTTATTGCGAAATTAACTTGTTATTTTAAACATTATAATTGTTTAAAATGACTTCACTCGCATAAGTTATTATACCATCATGACGTTCTTTAGATGAAAGAATTTTTAAAATCGGTTCAGTAGTTTTGGGGCCTATTCGAACAAACAAAACAAACAATCAAATCAAAATTATAATTAGAGCCCGTCTTCTAATTATAATTTTGATTTGATTGCTTGTTTCTTTTGATTGTTTGTTTTGTTTGTCTTAAAAAAACACGTTGAGAAACATATAATTCTGAATCAGAATTACAATAGACAAATTAAATTGAATATAAATTAAACAACGGTAAAATAAATATTTTTTTACAATTAAATAAATGAAACGTAATAAATAAAATTTATTATTACATTATCACAGAAAGAATAACGTTTCAAAATAATATTCGCACATATTAATTATAATTACCACCCTCATATCAATTTCAAGCGCAACACAGGTGTAACAAAAACACACACATTCTTTTATTGTGTTATTTATTAATAAAGTGTACGTACCTAATGAATATTCGCTTTAGAAGAGCATGTAGTCTCGTTCTATAACCAGCTGTTCTTATAATGACATGAATCATTGTAGCATCTGTGTTAACACACGACATGGTGGATATGTATTGGTATAACCATTGTCTATATTTTGTAGAGAAATGTAATAAAATGTTTTGCCTTCATTAAATGGTCGGCTAGCAACAAGGTTCAGACGTTCAATAATTTTCTGTAGACAGAAAAGATTGCCGTCGGTGGGGTATTTTGACATTAAGCGTCCTGTCTAGCGCGTATCTGAATTAACTTTAGACAGCTGTCATTGGCTTTAGATATAATGTTAATTTAAGCTCTTATAGCAAAAGATAAGCTAAGTAAAAAGATATTGTGTCTGGATTTTATTACGCATTATTAATTGACACATAAAATTCACCTAGTCTCCAGCACTCCCCTGATTATTGATTTATTTAACAAACTCTATTGACCATTGAATTGGTATAAGAGACGGAGTTAACTCTAATGGCATTCTCTACCAGTCAACCTTTGGGAAACAGAAAAACATGATGGCGGCATAAAGTTTTGGATTTGCTGCCTTATAAAATTAATGGCAAAAAGAAAAGGCCTCTCGTTACAAATAAAATAAGAAAGAAAAGAATAAAAGATTTGCGAATAAAACAAACACTTAAGCCGCTCCTCGTAACCTACCACCCTTTTGGCTCAAGAGTGAACAGGGTAAATATCGTCAACAGTTTAAATTGAAACAACACTATATAATAATTTGTCTGCTTAGTAAACAGTGCTTTACTACAAAATAATTACTTTACAACATGATATCACAATAGGTACGATATTTTTAGACGTCCTAGTGATAATGGTATCAGAAAAAACTCCTTTAGCTCTTGTTTATTTCGCTCGTGCAAATGTTTTGTTATCATTAAAGGTTGAAAGTGGTCCGTATGTGTTACTTTCCCTTTCGCCAAGCCATAAGGGCTTTCAAATGTTATTCGAGCGATTAACTTCGATTCGATTAAATAAACCCGAGTTTTGTGTACCTGAATTTTGCAGCAAGTAACTAGTCTAAAACACATTGATTTATTCCCTTGTCGATGGGAAAGCGAGACAAAAGAACATTATGAATATTGATTAGTGATTTTTTTTGTAAACAATTACTAGCTACTGACTGGTAGTAAGATTTTTTGTACCTACACTTCGCATTTTTCTTAGCGTGGGCGCACTACAAATCCTTTTCCGTACAGTGCTGTTGTTATGGCGATAGTCTATCTATCCAACTATCGATAGTGATTGCTGAATATCGATAATTTGATCTGTCGATAACCGACAATTCTACCGTACTATTAGTCGTTTAGAGAGTAATGATTACGAGTCGTTCTACATCAAATCATTTTGTTCGTGAATGTAATTAGTATTGTGATTTTAGTGGTTATCATTATTGATCGATAGTATCGTACTGCTACAGAAAAATTGAGAGAGATCAGACTATCTTCGTGTGCACATTGATTTGCTTGTAACAAATCAAATGTGATTATGAGAGGAAGAATAAAAAAAAACGTACGCGTATAGTAAGAAAGGAGTGTAGGTATTGATGGGTTGAGTCCGAGCCCTTCTTGCTGGATACCGGACTCTTCCATTCGCGTGAGGTGAACCGCAGCGGGTTTTACCAGGTAGGGCTTCCACATTAACCTGCCCTTTTGAAGGCGGGGTGGAAGAGGAACCCTGGTTTAAGGCTTAAGGTGCATTTCCCCTGCGTTAACAAAAAAAAGGTATTGATGGGTTGGTGTATACGTAGAGGATACATACAAAATGTCCGATCACTGTTTTAAACCCACCTAACCTTGTTTATACGAAATAAATATTAACTAAAAAATGTTTAATAGAATCGGAAGAATATCTAGCTACTTTCACACTCTTTGTGTGTAGTGAGAAATTTGTCATAGTTTTATAGTTATAAAAAAAATTAGAAACTTTTTAAGTCTCTCCTTAGTGTTCCGTTACACACACTCCAACGAGACGGCTGATCGATTAGTATGGACAGGGTCGACTCAATGAAACTTGGCGCCCTAGGCAAATCATTGGAGCGACGCCCATAAAAAAATCACAACAAAATAAAAGACTAATGTAGGTATTTGCACCGATGAAAGAGTGCGGTTTACCATTACCAATGAATGACAAAAAATGATACTACGTAGGTCAGGTACTATACCAGTCTGAGAATTTTGTAATTTAAAATGTAAGGTACTGCATTAGTCAAATAATTTAAGCAAAGCAGATTAAGCCATGCAACTCCTTAAATACGAACGCTTACGTCGGTTGTCTAGTTTGCCTATATGGAAGGGCGGGGACTGAGTATGGAAGACATATACAATGAATATTGTGGTGATCCCGAATAAAACCAAGGTCAAAAAAGACGGCGAGTACCTTCATCATCATCAACCCTGTTACGTCCCCAATGCAGGGGCTCAGCCCTTCTTATGGATGGTTAAGGAGGATGGGCTATGACCCTCCACGCTGGCCCAATGCGGATTAGAGGGTATTAATGACTGCAAATGCAGGTCCCGACCAACGGCTTAACGTGCCTTCCGAAGCACGGAATAGCTCGACATAATATTTTATTTGGTCACCCACCCCGTGACTGACCCTTGCGAAAGTTGCTTAACGACAACGATTGTGGGCCGCGGCGCTTATCCACTACGCCACCGAGCTACACGACGAGTACCTTACTTCAATATTATTAATAGCATAGATACTATGACTGATTTTTATCGATAAATATCTTTATCGATAATCATACTGTCGCTATGCCGGCAATACTGTTTATACTCACGCACAGGTCGTTGACTCACTATTGTTACA